CTTTGTACACCGCCTTTTGCCTTTTTTCATTGCGTAATTTAGAAGACTGAAAGCAACGAGTCCTGTATACATTCCGTAATTGTAAGAAAAAAAAAACCACATGCATAAACCCAATTTGAATCCTTGACCGAAATAGTTGCATTATACAACATGCCTAGATGATGATAAAATTCTCATTACTTATTAGCTTTTGTTAAAGTTGAGTTTAGTAATCTATTTTAAATTTCAACTTATAAATAATATAGTCTCAATATTCGACTAAATACCTAATAAATTTTGTTTTCTAAATCAGCGGTTTCCAACCTTTATGCTACTACGCTTCCCGATTTTTTTTTCCGCGCCTCCCTTACCTTATATTGTTTTAACAGATTAAATAATATAGACACGTTTTATTTATTTCAAGATATTATGGTATAAAAATTAATTTATTAAAAATTTTGGCGCTTCCCCTGGCAATAGTCCGCGCCTCCCAGTTTGGAAACCGCTGTTCTAAATTGAAATTGAAAGTAGATGTTACTCTAATTGATATACAAAATATCTTCAATCACTCACATCTCAAAAAAGGTCAATAAAAAAATGTAAATGAAGATATTTCATTCTTCATTGTTTCAGGTTTTACTCAGGAGTTGCAAGGAGAAAAGCAAAATATTAAATTAAATATAATATTTATAAAATATAAATTTCTGTATCTAATAACGTTTTACAAAAAATTTAAACTCGCTTTTCGAAATATATAAATTTATCCAAAAATAGAGTTTTAAAAACTAACAAAGCTTATTATTTTGATATACTTTAATAATATTTATTGAAATTGTCATACATAAATAAATTAAAACGTAAAGCGGCTTTCTATCCTATATACTTTATTTGAAATTACTTACATATTAAATCATTTTGTAATTTAATATATAATATATTTGTCAAAAATACTAGTTTCTATTAATTTTTTCAAAGTATATGACCTACACAAAACTATCATTATATAACTTTCAATTTTAAGCATTAATAATTTTTATTTAATGACGTTAAGATGACAGCTTGCACTCTAATCGTTAATCCTGAGGTCGATAAACTTGAGGCAAGTACTTTATTTAGAATTACGGCGATTTAAAATTATCTTCCAAATTGACTGTATTACAGTGCTGCTAATTTTCCTTTCCATTCGCATTCGCCGCCTTCGCTCGACTCAATTGTATAAACATGCTAAATATGTGACTCGTAAACTTCGTTATTTCCATTATTATCAAATCGAAAATAACAGAACTGTAAACTGATGCACATAAAATATAACAATTTTATGCATTTATTTTTATTCCAAAATATTTCATTATTCCTATTTTTTTCATATATGCATAAATAATATTAATAGTACATATAACGTGTACAAATGTGTTTAAGATTAATAGAATTAAAAAAAATGCGCCATATTAATAAATTATATGTAAAACGGATTTAATATTATTTTAAACTTAGTATATAAGGTTTTATAAAAAAAACTAATTTAAGTATTTCCTTATATTATTAACTCTTTGACCTTTAAATCTGAAGTAGTTTGAAAAAAAATATCGATTGGAATGCTGAATAAAATTAAAAAGTTTAAAACCGATTAAGATTAGAGAGAAAATACATCCAAAAAAGTCCAAAAGAAAGCTGCTGCATTGCATAGCCTAAACACGGGTTTAATCAACACCAACGACTTGCCAGAAAAGGAATTATAATATGTATACGTTAGAAATAAAAGTTAAAAGTTTATTTGAAAATTAATATAATTTTAATCCATAATAAAATTACATTATATATTTATAATAAAATTCTATTTAATTTTTGATTTTTCATAATATTTGAATTCAAGATTAAACAACAACACAAGATCACCAATACCCCAAATAGTCTGACTTCGATCAGTCCGGCCGGCATCACTATAGTATCTAAAATTATTGAGTTTTCTTGTCTATCTTGTCAAGTCTCTTTTTGTGCGTTTTATTTTTAAGCGTTATTCTATTAGTCCGATTTTCTATAGTTTGTTACATTGGCGGACTATTACCCGGACATTGCGGTTTTTACTATGTAAAATGTTGTGTTTTATATTATATATTTTACTATGTATAAAATAATATGTAGTAATTTCTGTCTAGAAATTAAAAAAAAATAATTGAAGTACTTTTTGTATAGTTGAATCTATAGTTGGATAGGTGAATCTATAGCAGGGTTTCCCAAACTATGTGTTCCGCGTAATTACTAAATAAATGTTTTCTCATTTTGTTTAAAATTTTGTTGATAATGTGTTATTACTTATCCTACAATAAAAATAACGTGTTCCACGAAAGTTTCAGGATTTAGGAAGTATTCCGTTGAACGAAAAATTTGGGAAACTCTGATCTATAGTTATTTACTATGAAATCTTTTCCTAATAGTGGCAAAAAAGACTTGTAAAAATATATATCAAGGATAATAGATAGGACTTATAATAAAAAAAACTAACAAGAAACTAATTTGTATATTTTGTTTCTAACTGTTTGTAACTTAAATAGTTTATTTGAAGCTCAAATTAACTAATATAATGTAAAAGAAGGATTTAGAAACAAAATACTTAGATTTAAATGAAAAGCAATAATTATTTTTGAAAGTTATTCCGTTGAAACTAAATCGAAATAATATAATGATTCAAAGGAACCAGTAACACTTAATATATATATATAATTGGGGAATGGTTTCCTATGGCGAGATCCGGCCTCAAAATGAGAGATACTTATATTGAGTAGTCTGGATGTTATGGCTGAATGCCTAAAGTGATTCGCTGATGGAACTTTGAAAGCAACTCTTTCACCACTCAAGCGTGTATATATATACATATATATGTATATATATCTCGAATCTTATATAAACGTTATATTAATGTTGGAAAGCAGTAATAAAATAAATTCCAATAGGTGATTTTAAAAGACAATACATTATTATTTATATAAAGAGATTTTACTAAAATATTAAGAATATGCATATGTCAAAAAGAAAAGTATCAATTTTCTACAATGTCTCCTTTTCAAACTTTCCATTCTTTTAGTAAGTCATGTCTTTTGCAAACTCGCATTTACAGTTATTAAATAATTCGATAGAATTTAGTAGAAACTTAGCGTATGAATCATAGTCACAATGTTCATTATTCTCATAGCATTTAATAACGATAAACCAAATCAATAGTTATGTTGTATACAGATTTAAATAATTAGAGTTTTTCCACATATAAACTTTTTATATATGAATATACAGATCGATTTATCGGTTTAAAAATTTTAAAAGAAATTCAGCAAAATATATTCTAAAAAATTTGTTCACAAAATTATTCTCCTTTTGTGCTGTTTATTTCATGCGGTTTAAAGTTCTTGATCCGGTTTCAAACAGTGCGGGACTTATTACCCGCACTATGCGAAGTATTGCTGTACTCCAAGGCAAAAACTCTTTGGTCAAAATCAATAAATATTGTAAATAAATTAAATAGCTCATAATAAATATTTGAGTTGAAATACCCTAATTATAAGAAATTAATTGAAAATATTATATCACTATTTTGTAAATTTTAAATATAAGATTTAATGATAGTAATAGCAATAGTAATAAGCAATGGTTAGTTAAGTTTGAAATAGACTTTGTGATATTGTAAAGTAATTCAAGCAAGTAAACTTAATGTTTAATAATTTTAATGGCTAACGAAATGACGGCTGTCATCTTGTTTCAAAGCGAGAAACTGTTGAAATACTTTTAGCAATTGAGTGCAGCAGTTTATATAATAATATATAATAAAAAGAATATTTAGTTTTCATACTTATTAACAATAATAATAATAATAATTATTATTATTCTATAAATTACTTATGCGATAAGTTGTTGAGGCGGTAAACTGTCGTGGTGGTGAATTGTCATGGCGGTGAATTTTCGGATCCCATAAATCATATTAACAACTAAGGAGAAATATTCATAAATATCGATCTACAGTTGAGTCTGGAGAAACTTATAATTTAACGTTATGTTAAGTCTAATGACTATTTAGATTGAAAAATTAACCATTCATAATTGCAAACAGGCTCAAAATCTATGAAAGTAAAGAATAGTAAAGAAACTTCATTTAAAGAAAATTCATTAATTTTTATTAGAAAAACAACTAGATTTATAATTTATTTTTTATTGTTCGTTCCACCACTTTTAGTTGACATAAAATACTATTTAATATTTTCGTTTAGTTACAAATGTTGATGATTTTTAATTATTGACATAACCAGCAATTAAATTAACTAATAAAGCCTAATATAGTTTATTTAATTAAAAAAACATATATGAACAATTTCTCCTTTAATAGATACAGAAATACCTCGCATAGTCCGCATAATCGGTTCCGGAATGTTTGTAACCGGACTAATCGAGGAAATATATACAAAAAATGATAAATTTTAATCGCACAAAAACTTTGTGAAGAAAAAAATAATTATTTTTATTCAGCTTATTTCTTTTAATTTGAAATTTTCTAAATGTACCAAAGTGAATCCGGACTGATTGAAGATGCACTATGCGAGGTATATATATAACTATGCATGTTTCATCTAAAATTGATATTTTAATTTTCAAATTTTGATCTTTTTCAATTATTGTTATAACATAGATTAGTTTCCTTTTATAATCTATTATGTACAGAAATATAAAAAAGTTTAATATTATATATTTTTTGAAGAATAGTGTCACGATCTTTTCTAAACTAGATTTGTAAATGAAAAAAGTATTAAAAATTGAAATAAAACTTATTTCAATCGATCAACTTTGCTCAACTTCGCAGTTTGTTATTTTTAATATAAATAATACCAATAATATTACGCAAAAAAAGTCAACAGCCATAAAGAGACTACAAACGGGTGATTGCAGGTCTATAAATAGAAAGTAATTCGTGCTGTTATTTGTTATTACGTGCATCGAGCGGTGATAACGCCTTATCCTATTCATTTCGAATTACTCACATCGAGATGCAAATTTATAAGTATATCCCAGCTTCGGTAGGTCCTTAACACAAGCTTTGTATTGGTAATTCCTTGTCAAAGAGGATACACCAACACCTTCCGGATTGACACTTAGACACGAAGAAGAGGACTAGGAGGACGCGGCCCACCTTCGCGAAGGAATGCAACTGCTGCGAAAGGCCAATGAAATTTTTGCATGGCTCGCACGATATTAAATTGAAAAAAAAATATATAGAAGTTGCAGTAATAATAATGACTAAAAAATTGCTGCGCTCCTATTTTTTAATTTCAAATTCAACTGCAATTACAATAATGCACACTTTTTCTAGCTGACACAGTAATTTCGATAATTCACTAGGTCTGCACTTGTTGTTCCTTAGCAAAAAAAAAACTTTACCGCACTATATCATTGACACTCTTCTTTTTTCTCTTCATTTGTTTCTTTCCGGTTTCGTCGAATTGTCTTTTTTCGTTAACATTAATGCGAACAAAATATTCAAAAAATAAATTTTTAAAATTTAAATGTCCGTGCGTTTAATTGTAAACTTTGTTTTTGATCGGGAGCTTCAATTAAACCGCGCGTTCGGCAGTGTAAACTCGGCCGTGTTTCCTCACTGACTGAGTGTAATAAATATGGGGAATGGTTTCGTCTGCTGTCGGTTTGCTGCTGTGTGTTTGCTTGCTTGAGTGGAGGTGATCCAAACTGGAATTCGAACTTAATCATATGTACGTACTTGGGACTGTGTGGTATGTGTGCGTACGTGTGCGTGTGTGTTTATATATGTATTAATACGACATACATAAATACACACACATACATACATAGATATATAGACACACAAGATCCCGCTCTCTCATCACGCATCGCCATCACCGCAGATGATTGTGATGATGATGAAGATGATGACAAACAGACGCATTCCACTGCCACAAATTACACGTTTTTAACAACAAAAAGTGCATCGACATTCATACCTTCGCGTGAAATACTACATTTTACATACATATATGAAAATTATTATTAATAATTTGTGTTACAGTGACCTTCAAATTTGGATACAATTCGTTGTAGGAAACAGTTCGAATTACGAGGGTATAAATTAATGTTCATTTTAACAATATTCACATTCAATTTTTTTTAGGATAATACTATAGAAATTAGTTGCATAAATAATTAAACATATTAATTCCAATATTAGAAAATAATATTATTTTATTTCTGAATTTATTTCTAACCAGAGTATCCAAACTTACAAATATTTTCTTTTACCGGTAAATAATTGAAGTAAAAACCGTAAACATATTAATTGAAAATTTTCTTTGATGTAATTAGCAATAACCTATTAAGTTTTAATCATATTTAAGTAAATTAACAAGAAAAAAACAATAAACGTAATAAACAATATATATTCTAAATTAGCAAAGCAAAATTTATTCAAAGATCTCTTTAATATTTAACAATAATATTAAGTTACAATACATTATTTCAAAGAGAGATTAACAAAACAATAATCAATTATTAATATAATGACCTCGCTAGGCATAACATTTTTTTTCTATATACAGATTTAGTACTTTCTGACAATTTTCAATAAGATTGGTTCAATTTGTCAGCTCAATGGTCTACTACAATCTCTATTTTATGGTCTGTTGCTTTGATTTAATGTCAGCTATACCCCATTTTCATACGATTCATTTGAGACATTCATCTTTTCAGTTTCGCATTCATCACGTCACATATTTAATCGTTCAATGAGAGAAAACTATAATTTTTTGATGGTGGCAAATTAATTCAATTCAAATAATAATCCAAATTCCAAGTGACATGGTACACGAATTATGCTACATTTTTTCCTAATTTTGACACACTTATCCCAAGATATCCTACAAGATTCTGCAAAAATTGGACATCTTAAAAGTTTGTGCTTCACTTTTTTTTACATATGAAGATAGTCCCAGAATTACTTGACCTAACAAAGAAAACACAAAAATGTCAAAAATATCTTTATATCTCAACATGCGACTAATAGCCGAATGGTTAAGTCGCCCTACTCACGAGCTAGTGGGCGCAGGTTAAAATCCTGGTCAAGCCAGGGCCTTTGTGAGCCCTCTCGGTGCTTGCAGCAATAGGGCCATTGTTCATCACAGATGGACAGTTAAGTGAATGAGGTTCAGCATATGGACTTTCAGCCAAGTCGAAGGACAATGACAGTGTTAAGGATATCAGCAGATTCACAGTGAAAGGAAATAGTGGAATCGCAGAGCATCAATATACTACTGAAGTTTACCTACAAGACGACAGCCAACCTACAAATTAAAAATCAGCATAATAGTAACTATCTACCGGGAAAGATTACCAACCTAATGTCAACCGCGATCTTAAAATGTTCACATTGATGAATAGATTGTGAATAAAATTACTCGACATTAAAAAATATATCTCAACATAAAGTATTGTATCACATAATGATGACCAATTTTTTCCATGTTTACAAATTAACTGAGAGCGTTCACTATTTATGGCTGTCAAACAAATACTAAACAACGTAGCGTCTTCAAACTTTAGCTAAGAATGATTGCTATTTTTGACCATAGTAGTTTTTTCAAACAAAAACCGCTATTTATACGTGAGATCGGATACTTCTGGGACTGCCCTCGCAAATGACAAGTCTTCAATAATATTTTAATAGGTAACATCGGCATTAAGTATTGTATAGTCAGCTGTACCCACTTCAGAAATGTTATGTTTATTTTGTGTTTTTACCTAAAATGTATGGTATTTCGGTAATTATATCTATATTTGACCCAAATAAAAACTTGTTTAGGCCCCTCAAAAAGTACAACTAACGGATGTCTAGAGCCCATGACTTTCCTAATATAGTCCTCCGAGAACCGACACTCCACGCCCCGTCATCATTATTTGTGAGTGTAATTTAGGGCTTCATGATTTTCTGTATTTTCAATAAAGATTGCCTGATGCCATCAAATTTGTCTGCGTAGTCCGAGTAATTTAAGGACCCAAATAATATTTTTAAGGATGACAAAGATTTGAAGTTCCGACACTGGTGGTGTCTCTACAGAACTAACCTCAAAGCTAAAAAAAATGACGGTTCCTTGAAACGAAGATTCTATGACTGCGCTACCACAGTAGCCAAGTATATAATTTTGCACAAGCGCTAAGCTTCCTGTGTAAAGAATCAATTGTTTGTATTTATTTGTTATCAAAAAGACAAAAAATACAGAATTTATTTATAATTGAACGTTCATACAATAAATGCGTGGATATCACTGATCGCTGGAATGTGAATTTTCTTTCATTTCATCCGGAATCCGTTAGTTCAGAGTTGTGATTCATAAAAATTACCACAATATGATATTTGTTTTAAGACAAACCTGTTTTGGACATTTTTTTTATTAATTAAAAAAAACAAATAGATATATATTTTTTTATTTTCTAGTATTTCTTACATGATTTGTTTGAGTTTTAAAATCTAGTTTTACTAAATTTTTGCTTAATAACCTCTTGATGTTCGAAGTCTATAATTACACATTTTATTACCTTCTATATATGAAACTTCTTTGAACATTTATAACATTTAAATCAAATTTGTTACATTTAGAAAAAAATTGAACTAGTAATGCGTAACAAGATATTATTTTTTAAGAATCATAGCGAAGACCTGTATCTAATTTTCTATAAAAAAAATATTCTTAAATTGATAAAGAAATAATCTAATTAACAATTTTTTTAAAGCTTATCTTAGTTTATATCTTCTAAGTTTACTTTACTTTTTGCTTTATTGTCTAATTAGTAAGATTGATACAACACGTATAATGAATTTCATAATTTATTTTAATTTATTGAATTTATATCCAAATACTTATATATAAATTAACGCTTTAATTTTATCTGAATAACAATTTCTCAAAAATATGCCGGTATTTCATAATATTAAATTTGTGTGTGCACATGGGATTTACACAATTTAGTTTATTGGTTGATTACAGAGTTTAAATACATAACTAAAAATAAATAGAGTGCAAATTCAGTTATAGAACATATTTCAATTATACATTAACAGAATTGTTGAAAACTGAAATCCTTTAGCTCACAAGAAATAATGTAAAATGGATAATCAGTTAACAAGACAGATTATTGAAATAATAACTTTAATCACAGTATTTCGTACATTACATTATATAAAATAACAATGGAAATACATACAATCTTAAAGAATAATAAGCATAGCAAAACGATAAAATATAGATTTACACAAATGAATTGAAATATAATTCTAGGAAAACAGCAAAACTCTGCATAGGACTAATCGAGGAACTAAATAAAATAGAAATGAACCGCACAAACCGCACAAAAAGAGACTTTTTTATAAAGGTTTTTTTTTATTAAGGTTTAAAACCTTTATTTTTATTTTACTCTATTAAAATTTAGTTTGTTCTGAAATGTTCAAACTGGTCTGATCGAAACCGTACTATGCGAGTAATTGCTGTATTTAAAAAGACATTTGTGAAATGAACTCCACAGTTATATTAACATATAATAAAATTAAATTAAAAAGAAATATCCAGTATTTGGAAAAAATCGACGTGAGACATTAATCATCCGGAAAATAATTTATTCTCAATTTCACATTATTTCGCTGGAAGTAATGAAGAACCTCATTGCAACAAGCGGTGTGCCACAAAAGCCACTTTTACCGAATTTCTTTTTTTTCTCTTCATTCTTTCATTCCCTTGCGCTTTTACTTTTCATCCGAAATCTCTTCTTGGTAGGAGACACAATCATAATTTACGTACGAAAAAGAAAACATCGGACTAACCTAACCTTAATTTTCTTGAGAATGGAAACTCGAAATGGTTGGGTTTCTCAATATTTTTTTTGTGAGTTGGCTTCAGCGAAAAACGCTCGACGATCGATTCGCAATTGCAATTAATTCGAACGTCGTCCATTGGCACATCGAGCGACTGGCCAAGGCCTTACATTTCCAGCTTTTATCTACTGATTCTATATTTGCGTTGTTTTCACATAACGACGCAATCGGTCACCGATAATAAGTAATGTAAACTCTGTGAACTACATCACATTTGTGTTAAATACTACTTTCCGTACTCTACGCTTACCCAATATTGTATTTGTACAAAGTCTAGATTAAATTCGCCTTTGTATTCTATAAGTTACGTTAATTACTATTTCAGGGTATTTAACTTAACATACATCTAATATGTAGTAGGGAAAACCCTATGCATTTTACTACATATTAATAATATTTCTCTGAAACGTAATAAATGTGCTACATAATATTCAGACTTAATAAGATATAATATAATATTACAGTCAGCGCTCGGTTAACGTACAAAATACTGCAAAAATTGCACTAACAAACGTACATTAACGAACGTGAAAAATATGCATACTAACGAACATTATACATTGTTATATCACTAAAGAAGTTGTCTATACATTTTATAGTAAGACTCTGGGTTAAAATTATGTTCTGTTAGTGAGTACTCACTATATATTTCACTCCTATTTCTAAGCGAGTATGTCGATGATCTGAGATAATTTGCAATATGGAAATTATTTTTCTAAAACTCCCAGAGCGTAAAGTTAGAGCAGGAGTTGACAACTTTTTTGGAGTGAAGAATAAATTTTATTATATCTATTGTATACTAAATTAGGAAGCCAATGAATAGTTTATTAATAAAGAGAACCGCATGAAACTTATGAGCCGCGGGTTGCCGACCTCTGACTTAGCATATAGAGCAGGCATGGCCAACCCGCGGCCAAATTGAAGATTTTTTTTTGCGGTCCACTTAAAGTTTTCAACTTTCAATATTTGGGTTGAGCACCCCTGATATAGATAATACTAATGATATAAGGTACATTAATATATTTCGAAAAAAATCTGTAAACCAATTCTTCTCGTAATCTCGTAAAACAAAGATGATCTCTTATAATATCTAGAAATTAGTGATATTAATAGTATTATTAGTCAATTACCTACTTAAATTATCATTGTAATGGTTGTGATTTTAAGAATAAGTTTAATTTTATATTTATTTATCATTTTTAGTATTCAAATACACAAATTTGTATGTTTTAAAAATCACACCTTTTTTTGCGACAGAATATTTTATTTGGAAGTGTTAGTTTATATTTTATTATTACGCTCTTAATTGTATGTATTAACTAATTTAATCATATTTTGCGTTTAATATTGATATTTATAAAAACTAATTAATAATTCAATAATTAGTAATATTCTTTTTATTTTTGATTAAATTTGGAAATATAAATTTTTATTTTTGATTAAATTTGGAAAAATGGGCATTAATGTGCATATAACATATTAAAAGTTAAAAAAAAAACTTAATTAAACAAATCACTTACTAAGTAATTACAATAAATGTAGAATTAGGTTTAAGTAAGTGTTGCCAACATAATCAAATCATTATTTTAACTCATAGATAGACATTTATTTCATTTACATTAAAAAATTTCAAATTATTTGAATAAATATTTATCGGTTAACAAACCAAACAAAATTGAGATGCGCGCTACTTGCAAGTAATTTGTAATGTGCGTATTTATTAGTCGGTCAATACAAATACAGTGGAACCTCGCTGAACGAGCAAAATTAATTATAAGAAAAATGACTCGCTTAACGAGTGACGATGAGAAGAGAAGTTCCGGATTACGCGCCTGCTTCATCATTTTTAAAACCTGTGTACACATATTATGTGTATTTTAGAATGTGTTTCACTATACGAGTAAAAATCTGAAAAAATTTTGGAACGGATTAAACTCATTAAGCAAGGTTCTACTGTATACTGCTAACCATATTAAGTATATATTATTTAAGTTAATTAATATCAACAGATTTCTCATAAAAAAATAACAGAAATGATTGATTTTTCAATTCAAAGAATTATTCTAAAATACTGCATAATACATAGAATACGGAAATGCATATTTTTCTATTTTCATTGAACAGTCTAAATGTCGTAAACTGTTGAAGTAAATTGTCTTTATCTTCCTACACTCAAAATACAGTTTCTATAAATTACTTTTTTTGCGCGTATTTATATAAGTTATTTTACAAGTAATGATCCTAATGGGGCTCCGGAGCCACAGGTTGCCGACCGCTGGTGTAATGTAATAATCATTTATTTCAGACAAATCAGACGATTTTGGCGAGTTTCTAAACGCATCGTTGATGTTCTTGGTAACTATATTATTCTTGAAATAAAAAAGTTTCGTTTTTATGTTAATTCTTTAGCAGAAAATCCGTTTTAAATAAGCAGCATACTGAGAGACGCAATATCCAATATGAAGACAAATTGTCACTTCACGCAGATTGTTTAGAGTTAACTTATTGATTGAAACACTTATATCAATTAAACAAAATATTAAGTACTTGTTAACAGTTTACTTTTGTACCAATTATTGATTCATTTATATCACCATGGAAATGAGCGTGCTCCATTCAAACACTCGCTATGAATTGGTTCGGTGCAGTTCCTTCAACCAGCTTGGATATTTATTTGTGATCTCGCGACAAGTACGCCATGCAAAAAGTTAATAAGAAATGAGAAATAACTAGTGGTTTGGAGCATTTAACTTATTATTTTCTAATTGCGTTCGCAGTGTTTAGTAATTATGAGCAGAAGGTGAGTGGGTTTCGTAATTGGTTATTTTGTAATTGCAAAAGATCGTTTCGATTTGACACAAATTGTGGTGCGCGCATTTATTGCAATTAACAATCGCACCTTTTTAATTAACAAATTAAATGCTGAATATCAACATTTGGCATAGATATTTTTCCATTTGCTGATTGGAAATAGATAATTGATAGGTTTATACTATAATCTAACGTTTTGCAGTATTTTATAAGAATTATTTACAATATTAAAAGTGAGGTGACATCTATTGAGCTCGAACTATACTGCGAACTATGCAAAATAACTAATAGAGGGCGCCACTATTATAGCATACTGTTTGTGGATACACTTATAAATAAACAAATTACTTTTTAGAACCAAAGTTAGTTATAAAAATAAAATCATCAATATTATGGTCTACACAAAATCAATTTGTAAATATAAATTTATTCATTGACTTTTGTTCTTTCTTTAAAGAGTCAATTATAAAACTTCTATTTCTACCCTTTTTCGGGTCTATCGACCACCACAATTTTTTGTTGGTTTTTAAGGATCGATTTTTAAGAAAAAACGTATCCCAATTATGAAGATAATCATAAGTTTAAATATATTTTGTTCCAAATTGGTTATGATTTTATATAATTTAAAAATGCAACATTTATATAAAAGATACAAAGAATTTTAAAAAGTTGGATGAAGAAAGATGGTTTCAACTTGTATATCTATTTCTTCGACAATTCCAAACATATAAAAAAAATGTTGAACAAAAAGCTCGAAAAGTATAAAAATTAAAAATTGTTACACAATATTTTCAATGATTTTTAACATTTTTTCTGTGTCTGGTTTCGTTAAAAAAATTAATGTTAATATTATATTTTGATTAATAAAATTTTATTCTTTTACATTAGTTTTGACCCATAAGTCTTTTATGACTTCCATGTATATTTTTTATTTAAAGTATTATCATGATATTATCAATTAGGTATAATTTTGATGGCGCAATTGCCCCTATGCAGTTTCATAATTGCGTGCATCTGAAAGTGAAGATTGTTAATATATGCACTCCATAGGTGTCGCCACTGTAAAAAATTTAAACTCTTCTAGTGACCTGAATATTTCTCGATGGTTGGACGCCCATTCTGATCGCGGTGCAGGTTTGCAAGTTCTTCTGAATGGAGCCGTCTTGGCCGACGTTGCCGGCGACGGAGATCACAGATTGGTCGTCGCCGACGTAAAGCTTCAACCTGATACAAGATCAAGACTGAAAGTATACAGAGGAACTCTCCTAACTTCCGATCAAACATTACCCGACATTCCATCGGCCGTCATAACATTCTATCCCGACAATCTGGAGCCAAAGGTGCCAGGTTTGTACTCAACATTAGCACCTGCCACAAATCACCTGATTCCCATCCAATTTGCAGCTGTCGGAATCACCTGCGGCCTGGACCTGTTGATGTACAAAAACAACAAACCATACTTCAAGTTTTCGGTGCCGAGTCTTCCGATTTCCGCGCTCGAAGATGAGGTCTGGACAAAGTTCAAACATAAGAACGAACACGACTTGACGCAACTCGTCGACTCATTAAAAACTGTACCTTACAATACTCTAACTAGCAGGTTTTGTATTCATAGCGGAAATTTGCGAACATTACGGAATAACAATTTTTAGGTCGCAGAAGTTGCTGCTATTGAAACCCGAAGATGCTGCAGATTTCGTAGACAAGTTCAAGGATAAGGAGCTGAAGCGATACTCGCCCATAACATGTGCGACAACGCTGCAAAGAAATTCCTCCGAATGGAATTCCGTTTCTTGTCCGGTTTTAGCGACTGAGATCGGACAGATTTACATTTTGGATCCGCAGAATTTGTCTATCCTCCATCAAGTAAATTCACTGTTTACTATTCATTTTATTGCTTACAATTTTTCTTACACGCGTTTGTCTAGTACACAAAGAATATATCAATTAATCTCATTCTATTTGCTAATGCAAATCTATTTGCCATTATTTCTAAAATGTATAATCAAATGATAACTATCAATATAGTAAACTCCGAACATTTATATAAAGTTGCAACAACACTAATCATGTTATAATACTTACATTTGCACCTAGCAACAAGAACTAAATATAATGACATAAATCGCAACAGCCAGTTTAATTAGCGCACAAAAATGTACCAATTTATGGTAATAAAATTATAAAGTATCAAACAATATAAACTATTTTATGTGAGATGAAGAACTCTAAAACAGCATCGAAGTTAATATTAATATCAAAATTTGCTGTAATAGTAAACAATTTTTATATTGCTCTCTGATAGTTTTAATTCATATTAGAAGTAGAACTAATAAAAATTGAAACTTAATTATTGAAACTTAATTATTTTATGAATGAAGTAATGAATTAAATGTATATATTATTAATGCAGGCATCAGTATCCGTGTCAAAGGCCACTCCATCTGTGATCAGAGCGATCGGGTTGTTCGATGTGGAGTATCGAATTTTGATTGCTACACGAGAGGGATTGGTCTGCTTGCTGAGAAGAGGATGGTTGGAAGGAAGAAACGTCCTGCAGGCTACCACGTACATCGTCGATATGGTTATCATGCCTGCAGATAATTTCATCATATTGGCAACAATGGATAAAACGCTCAGCTGCTATTCAAAAAAGGTTTGTTTGCAACACATAATCAGCCAATGTATATATCTCAATCAATGATTGCCAAACATTGACCTGTCTGACATGCATTGTCTGCATGACTATTTCATAATCCATGCATGAATATATGGACTGTTTTTAACGAAATTTGGATTAATGTAGTTCCGAAATTATGATTAATCTAATATAGAAACATACCTTGCTATTTGGCATTACTATTTGTACTCTTTATGTCGTTTAATTTATAGAAGAAATTTGAAACTTTTTATAAATAATAATTGCAATCACAATTAAAATAGGCATTTGGAATATACCATCAGTCGCCAAACTTTTGACAGCAAAGAGCCAAATCTGCCCCCACGCAACAATTTAAAAATTATTTGCAAACATTTCCTATAGAAGAGTCGATTTTGTCCCCTTGAGACTAATATACAAATTATCTAAAAGCAACAAACATATTTGTTTACATGTCGCCTTTAAAAAAGTTAATTAATAACGAATGTATAAATAACTCGTAATAATATTTATTGCAACAAATTAATATACAACTCAAAGATTTAATATGCTAATATCTTGGAATTTTAGTATTTAATGTTTAGACACAAAATTTAATTAAATTTTATTTAATAAAACTACTCACTAATTTATAAAAAGTATATTATCAAGTGGATAAGAAGTTTTCCTAGAGCAGGAACTAACTCAATGATGCCAACGGATTCTTTGATTTGCGTTGCGTTATTGACAACATTAATATTACGTACACTTAATGTCTACTTACTTAGACCTCCCAATTGAAGTTTGTTGATTCTTTCATTCAGAACTATGCACTTACCCAAATAATTTATCATGTTATGACTCATTGTTCTTACATTTATTAATTGGTTTCGATAATATTAGATTATTGTGATTTACTAGATGTTACTTATTAAAAGAATTATTATGTACAGTAGACAATGAGAACATTTTCTAGTAAATAATTCGATAAATAGTAATAGTTTTTCTTGTGGTAATACAATCAAAAAGTTTAACAATAAATATAAATGTTCATTATATCTATTGTTACATTTTTTAAAGGTTTTACTTAAAATTATCATTTTCAAATCAATTTAATGATATTTATTTACTATTTTAATATTGAAATTTATTTTTTAAGGGAAGTAAGCTATGGTCTCAGGAACTGAAGCAGCAAATAACGTGTTTGACGTTGGTCCCCTTAAAACACTTAAGCATGACTTTAATTGGAGTCGGAATGAAAGGCGGATCTATCCACTTATATCGGACAAGGCATTTTGTGGATTACGTGTCCATTCCTGATACACCATCATCGTTGCTCTTCGGAAAAATGGGTCAAGAGGACCACGTCCTCGTTACAATCACAACAAGTACTCTTATTCAATATCCTCATAAAATAATATAATTGTAATAACATCTTCTCAGGTGGAATACTGGATATCAAAATCTTAAAACGCACCGCCGACTTCAACCTAACCCAACAGTCGACCGCATCCAATCCAATTCTTCAGAATAAACCTCTTCCGCTGCCCAAAAGAAGTAAATTGTTCTTAGAACAAAGTGCAAGGGAACGACAGAATCCAATTGGTGATTATATCAGACTAATTAAAATTTGGACCATAGCTATAATATAAAGAAGTATATTTTTAGAAATGCATCAGCACTTCCAGCAGGATTTGATTAGATTAAGATTGAATGCGGCTAGGGCTTTAGTGCAATCGCAAGGCGATCAAACCGGAGTTGGTAATGATAAAGAGTTAATCAAACTCTCGGCTCAGGTAGGATTATTTTTATTTTTTCACTGAAGAGATTAAACAAAATATGTTGCAGGTTTTGGGTTTAGGTCCTAAGTTCACGTTGATTCTGAACTTAGAGAATATGAATGGCGACAAAGCGTTGATCGATCTGACTATGATTTTCCATTGCAAATCTTCGATTTATCAATTGTCTCACTACGTGCTTCGCATACCGCTCGTTCCTCCCGGACTCATCTATAAGGCCGAGATCAAAGTGGAGGATGTGAGTTCCGACGATTTTCAAGGGCAGAACCCGGTGCAGAGCGTGAAAGTTTTCTGCACCCGCGGCGATGACACGCATCCAATTTTGGCGGCGACGATCAATATGCCACCCACTGATCTCAATATCATTTGATGATAAGACGTTTATAAAATAGGAAAACTTTAACTAACTCCAGTGGCGATTCGTAAAAAAAAAATAGTGGTCGAAACAATAAAAGTAAAAGAGAAATTGATATGTATTGTAAATATATTAAAAACATTTCTCTTCTATTTATAAAAGGATTTTAAATAAACACAGCAATACTTGTTATACTCCAGGTAATCGCCAATATCCTGGACTATTTGAAACCGCATTAGTCGAGGCGACATGAGACGCCACTGGTAAAATATAAATGTGATTGCTCATAGACGTGTATATTGGATGTGACCTAATAAAAACAAATCTTTAATAAACTAAAGCGAATAGCGACTTATCTTAATACTCGATATAAAGTAGATACGAGTGTGTAGGTGAATTGTGATAAAAACAAACAATAATCCTTACAATGAAAAAATAAAAATTACATTTAAACAAGATATACATTCAGTTTTTTTTATTAAACATGTTTTCAATTTATAATTAAAATATATAAATATTAGAAAAAAGTGAAGGCACTAAGGACCAAAGTTTATTCAAATTAATATTACCCTACTAATATCCTTCTCGTAAAATTAAACATTTTTGATAATTTATTAGTTCAATCAATTCTTCTTTTAGGAAAAAAAAATCAATATGGGCTGTATCGTTTTCAAACAGTTTTATAATCCAAGACGGGACATTCTAAAGATTTAGATCATTTACAAACATTGATATCTTCTTTTAAATATTTTAAATTATTATCTCTTTTAACAATTTTGCAAATACTGGGAACATCTGATTATATTATTTAAAAACTGTTATGAATGTATGTGTTACTTAAAAATCAATCGTTAAGATATTGTTAATATACGAAAAATATTGTCTTGTAGATTAATTTTTATTTATTAAATAATATTTTATTAATTAATATTTAAAAATATAATAATTTGGTATGATATAATCATGTAATGTAGAACTATATATTCAAAGAATATTTAAATCCAATAAATGTGAATCACTCATTAAAAATAGCATAGTTGAATTAATATTTATTGTTTTTTTTTAACATTTACTTCATGTACTAAATTGTTACTTGTTTTATTATTTATTTATCATTGAAAATCTGAGTTTCTGGGTTTATCCATTAATTATTTCCTGTGCATCGATCTTATCTTATCAATATTGTAGGATTTCAGGTGCGGCGATATCGTGTTTTTTCTTTTGAGCAAATAAAAACGACCACTTCGAACGGGGACGATTTATTAATACTTGACACGCTAACTACTTCCTCCACCAAACTAAATCTACTTCACAGATTTGATTTAAAGTATAAATTAAATAGATAACCCACAAACACCAACGCCTTCCTCATCCCGCATCCCGGTCAATTATTTCTGTGCTTTGGCCATTTCCTCAATGATCGAAACGTACTTCTTCTTGGCATCCTCTTTGCTCATTCCTTTTTTCTTGTTCCATGCCTCCCATTTAGCTTTAGCTATCGGATCGTTCATTTTCCCTACAACATAATTGTATATATTAAAATCATATTACTGAAATAATCATAAACATTTGACACTTTAACTGCTCGCGCCTTGAAATTTCTATGTACTACTCGCGCGGTGTATTTTATACACCACATGTATTAGTGCATAAATGATTGTATTGCGGCAAGAAAAAACGTTTTCATATTAACTAATGCTTTTTATAGAAACAGAGCCTGCGCCATCGTTTGTCCATAGTTCAAAAAAATGGGTATGATTCTGTTTCTTATACCTAGATAGCAATAACAGTGAAAATGTAACAATGCTGCAACAAAATTGTTAATTGGCTATTAAAAATAAAATAATTAAACAGCTTGCAATTTATTAAGCTTATTTATTAAGCAAATGATGGCGCAAGTAATAATTGATTTTTAATTATTGACTTTTTTACTTTGTAACCTTAATATATAATCAAACTAATCATAATTACTTCATTCTGATTAAATAAGTCAATAATTTTAATAACATCTTCATTTTTCTATATAAAATTATTTTATGTTTTTAAAAACTACTTTAGTTAGTAGATAAATTATTTGTAATTTTAGAACTGGAATAGAAAAAAGTTATTTTTCTTACATTATTTAATATTGTTGTAAAGATTAAACTATTCAATCATTTCAAAGTAGTCTCTATTCTACTAGTATATTTTATTGACATGATAATTGGAAGATACATCATTTCAGACGTCAAATCTAGAAAAGTTAAGAGACCATACTTATGCATTTAGGCTCAAGAACACATACATATTGAAAAAATGGTATAACTTATAAATATAGAATTTACTTGGTTATTGAAATAATGTATCATTAGGATAATAGATAATTCTAAATAGAAATTTGTTTCTTAAAATTTCTGTTTAGAATTGGAAGAAAAATAAATTATCTTTTTTTTCATTTTTCATTGTTTACATAAATTGTATATATATTTGGTCAGTTCTAAGTATTCTATATTCATAAAACATATCTTATTCAAAAATAACTACATTCAAATTAAAATACTGGAAAATATATGTGAATCTTGTAAATGTGGCAATAATAGTAACATTTCCTATAGTCAGGATTTTGATACTGTCGGGATTTTGATACAGTCGGGATTTTTTAATAGTCAGGATTTTGATACTATCGGGATTTTGATACAGTTGGGATTTATATACTGTCGATTTTTTGATATAGTCAGGATTTTGATATTGTCGGGATTTTGATACAGTCGAGATTATAGTTATCGGGATTATGATTGTCGGGAATTTGTTTGACGGAATTTCGGTTGCTGGGATTTTGATATACCCATGATAAAGTTATTAAAAAAACTATTATATATACAAAGAAACGATTGTAACAGCTTTTTTAGATTGTTTAAATCACTGTATAATCGTATATATACATCTAACACCTGCACTGTATATTATTATGTAAGTATGAGAAATGGTCTTCCGGAAAATTCTTAGAATTGTCAACTAAACACACGAAAATAAAAATATAAAACCGGTTTTCATTCATTCACCTGACTTGTCGACGTCTCCGATGGTAGCCTGCTTATACAGCGAGTATATTTCCAGCAGTTGCGAGTCCGGTGGTCTTATCACAAAGGTTTTGGCTAGGCTGCAAGCCGCATCAAATCTCTAAAAACAAATGGAATACAATCGGAAACTATTAAAAAAAATAATTCGATTTACTGCTTCCAAAGTGGTCATTTCTATTATGCTGCTTCACGTCCGTTTATACAAACTTTTAATGTATTTGCATATTGCCCAACGTTTTTATACCGTTCTGACATTTGATAATTTATGAATTTTAGATATTGTAATTTTTTAGAGACGAACGTCACTCACAAAACTTTTTGACGTATTGACATTTATAATAATATTGTAGTATGAAATATATTGAGAATAATATAAGTCTGTCAATTTACGTATTGATCAGGTGATCAATTATTCACATTTCTCTCACAGGCGGATGCAATAAATGTTTAATGAGTTTTCATTGAGGTTGAATCAAATTACACGGTTGATGTACGTAAATAATTTAATTTTTCTTTTTATATCACATAAAAAAAATATTTTTTTTTACAAAATAAATAGGATAAATTAATTATACTTAAAACATGATTTTTTCAAAATAATTATTATAGATAAAGTTACAAATTAACTCTGTAATTTATATTTAGCTTTATGGAATTAAAAGTATTCTATAAAAATTTACTTCAGACTTGTTTTTTTTTTATAATTTAATTTCGTTTTTCTAAATACCATACAGGTAAGTAATTTCTTTTACATTGGTTTAAGAAATTTAGAAAAAATTTATATATTTAATAAATTACAAAGTGTCAACTATAATTATTAAAAATTATTTTAATCAAATTCAGAACATAAAAAATAAAGTTATTTTGTCAACATTGGTATTGAAATATATTTATAAATGAAAATAATCTCATTTAATTAATGATTTATTAGTACAACTTTATTTTCCTAAGATAGTTCGTACATACTAAACTTGATATTTCCTTTATTAAATTATATTAACTATTTAATATTTCCGCCTAACCTTAATAGAATTTTAATAATTCTAATCAATATGAATTGGATATTGTTAGCAGTGATGCAAATTTAAAAGAAATATATAATTATTAACAAATATTTAATTTATTTTGAAGGTTTCAAATGCTCAAAGGTATTGTAGTATCGTAGAGCAGTGCTCCCCAACCTTATTATAGTCGCGGACCGGTCAACGTTTGATAATTTTACCGCGACCTGCCGTGGGAATACGTTGATTGTTTATATTTTAGTTTGTTGTGATTTAATAATTTTAATTTAATTGTATTTAAACATGCCTTCAAAGTTACACCAAAAAATGAATATAAAGTGATTTAACATTTTAACTCACTCCGCGGTCCACTGTCATAAAGTCTTTGAAACCGAACTAATTGATTTTGAAACTGTAAAAAAACTGGAGTGTAATGAAACTGTAATGGAAAATAGCAGTCATGCCTTCACCTTTTTTGGTGAAGATTCGATTTTCATTCAATATTTGTGCCGAAAATGTGCAATAGTCGAATATAATCTCTTTTTTTATCAATACAGTGCAAAAATGGTTCGCCTTTACGGCGCGACATCGAAAAAAAGTAATCATCAAAATGATTTGTTGTCAGACCTTCGTTTAATTCATGCAGATCCCATCTTCTTAACCTTACCGATTAGTTTCAGATGATTTATTTTGTTAGAATAGTAACGTTAAGCTTCCACTTACATTACACATTATTTTTTTTGCTTATGGACACAATAAAAAAAGTTAAATATCAGAGATTTCGGGTATCAAAGTTGGTACATAAGGACATTTCATACTTAATAATTTAATAGATTTTATATAATCCAATTAAAGTTGTGCCAAAATAATAATGTTTGATTAGTACTAATTCATATATATATGTAATAAATATGTTTACAACAATGAAATTATTATATTTATTTTTTTTAATTTATTATTTACAATCTGCTACATACTAGAAATAAGTGAATAGCTTTGAGGAACGAAAATAAATGAAAATGAAAAGAAATAACAATAACAAAAATATAATATAAATAAATATTAACTTTAACAAGAGTAATAATGATCTATAATGTTATTCTAACATATATGGGATGTCAAGAATATGCCTTTTTAGCTTCTGAGGTATTTCACTATTATCTAGTTACTAGGTTATATATTACGTATTAGTACGTTATCCTAACGATAGCTGATTCAGTTTGTTTGAAATGTGTTTTTCTTATCATGTGAGTCGACAATCTAAAATTGTACCTAAGTATTTTGCGTCATCGGCTCCTGGAATAATTTTGTTGTTGATTTATACATACATACATGTATCTATAAATCAACTAGATTTCCAGGAAAAATAAAAACCAATATATAAATTCAAAAAATACAATTATTTTAATTATAGCCACATTTCAGGTATAAAAAAACTTGTTTATTATGGAATATATAATTTAATATAATTTTAGAATTTTATTATTATTCATTTTAACACATGTTAATGTGATTATCAACTTTAGTTCTGATAGTTTATTGCATTTGCATTGAAATTTGACTATATTTAACTAAATATATTTATCTATTTTGGGGTAATGTAATTAATCATTATTACAACATTAATATTTTATATTGTTAACTAATACTAGCTACTAACTGATTATATTATTGCTACAACTTAGTATGTAGTTATGTAGTTACTTATCTGTAGTTAACATTGGTAATTATTTTGTAGCATTAAGTTAACAATACAGCAATAACTCACGCGGTGCTTTAAAAATCTCTAATGTTACTAAATTTTAAATGAGCGAAATTTTAATTAATTTCTAAAAAAAATAGTATAGAAATTATATTTTTCCTTTAAATTTTGTACTTATTAAATGACTAATGATGGCATTAGTAAAAGTTAACATTACCTCGTACATATTTCGTAATGTTAACTACCACTGGATAATAGTGATAAATCCGTTACAACAGAATTTCACGCGTTAGGCAACCGTGTTTGCGCAAACGGCCGGAGTGCTCGTACGTTGGAGTGACAGCAGGATACAATACTTTCGGATGCGTTGAAGCGAGATCAAAGTCCCCACGGCCAATTAACCTTGAAGATTATTTTTCCCCACTGAAATCCCCACCATCAGAATCATCGAATGGGGCCTTAATCAGTGAGCTATTCTGCGCGACCGGCGTTCACTGCGTTCAGTTTTCTCGTGACCTCAAATCCAGAAACAAGCAAGTGAGTAGCGCTCTCCTCCCATTCTACCGCAATACAACAAAAAATAGATGATATACATACCGGTTCCACCGGCATTTCGTCCGTTCCATTTGCTAAAAACCAATTGAAATAACTACAATATTATTTTAGTTGCTTTCTGTGTAACATCCTTACATTCGTAATTAGTTTCCAATGTTTTAAGTGCCAGAGTTAACGAGCTGATAACAATTTTGTTTTTTTTATATTACTGTATTTGCAATAGATATAAGTTTAATATCTTATCTTTCTTCTTTTTCAGATCGAAACAAACATGTCTTTAGACGAGGTAAATTTACTTATTTCTACGTATGCTAATTAAAACCATTCACTTCCTTCATATAATACTTTTTTCGCGTTAATCACGCATGAATAATTTCCGATTGGAAATCGAACCGTGACATTGGCGTTTTCAATTGTTCATTGTTTGCTTACTTTTTTTTTTACAGAGATTCAACAAAGCCGCCGAGAGCGTGAAGAACTTGAAAGCTTCCCCATCGAACGATGATCTTTTGGAGCTGTACGCTTTCTTCAAACAAGGAAGCATCGGTGACGTGAATACCGGTAAGTTAACGAACCGCTAATGCCATCCGTAACGGTAAACATTAATGTTCTTCGCTCTTCTTTCTTTCATTTGGACAGAGCGCCCAGGAATGTTGGACTTGAAGGGCAAGGCCAAATGGGACTCGTGGAGCTCCAAGAAGGGCATGTCCAGTGATGAAGCCAAGGAAAAGTACATCGCCAAAGCCGACGCCCTCATCGCTTCCATCGGCCTGAAATAGAATCCTGAATTCTATAAATATTTTTTTTGTATTTAATTGCTTCGTTTCTCTATTTTGCTGGGGGGACTTTTGTAATTTTATTTTGTTGTTTTTTTTTTGACGCGGGATATTTAGTATATTGTTATTATAGCTTTACTACTACTACTACACACTCACACACTACAGAAAAAAAATGTTACCACTTTGCTTGGTCAAAGTGCTGGAATAAAAGAATTCGTGAAATAAATAAATTTTCATAGAAAAAAAAACAAATTTGTTTGAATTATTTCGCTACAAAGAAGTAGCAGTTAGTTTATCGCATGTAATTATAACTGTTATTTTTAGCTTTTAAAATATTGTTAATTTTATTTTGCTTAAGTTCTCGTTGAAATTGAATTGAAATCGTGCTTAGTAATATAGCTCAGTTTCATTAAGAATTTCATGGTTCAATTATTGTATGATTCATCAAACAATTGTGCAATGATGAAGCAGAATTAAACTGATAAAAATTATAGTAAATTGGATGGATGTAGATTGGGTTGACAATACTCGATTCTTGTCAACGTATACATTGAGGACAATCAAACAAATTTATAGAAAATATAGAATCCAAGAAGCTGTATGTATGTTGGGTTGTCAACATTAAAAATCTTGTAACATAAACATAAACATATGAACGTCTGTATCATGATATAAATACAGTGGAACCTCGTTTAATGAGTAATTCGCATACAAAGCAAAACAAATTGAAACAAAAATTACTCGCTTAACGAGTGATGTTTCGCATGAATGACAAGGAGAAGGAAAGTGCATCTGTTACATCATTTTCCAAATTTGTGTTCAGGCATATTATGTGTGATCTATTTTGTGTTCAAAGTGTACCCGACGAAAAAGCGGCAAGAAGTTAGCAGTAGGGTAATACAAAAAGAGAGATAAAAATAATTAGGTCATAAATAATACACTAATTATTTCATATTTTTTGTTTTCTACAAATCTAATTCGCATTTTAGGTGGTTCATTCCGTGAAATAGATAGATTATAATTTTTGAATTTTAACATTAATCCATTAATAATTTTTGTGAAAATAAAAAAACTTTGAATTTCTTTTAAAACACATTACAATTAAGTTGCCTATAAATTTTTATTAAGTTTCATCAATACTTTCATAGCTAAATAAATGTGGTACTTTTTGGTAAAGTCAGGCAATTGTAAACTTAAATCATATAATAAGTGAATTATAGTGCTTTAGATTAGAAAAACGAATTAATTTTATATATATATTTAGTAACAATATTATTTTATAAACTTACTTTATGGTATTTTGCTATACAAATTTTCTTTTCGTTACAACATACAAAAAAATAACCTCTACATAAGTAACAATAAAACAATAAAATAAGTAGTACTTGAATGTAGGTTCATACTCATTTGGTGTTTCCAATTGCAAAACAATTCATTTTATATACAATATAAAGATTACATTAAAGTACCAACTAGTATTTAAGTCTGTTTCACTTCCCTTTATAATATCGTATCCAAAACTGATATTTATTTGTACTATCGTAAAGGAATTAGCAAAAAGAGGACATGATGTGGTGGTGATGACATCTGATCCAATGAAAGAGAACATATTTGAAGATATTATGGTATAAAAATTAATTTATTAAAACAATTTGGCGCCTCCCCTGGCAATAGCCAGCGCCTCAATAGTGAAATGTGCGGGTATATGTACCGTCAGACGGCATCGGGTTGAAGTATATCTATGAAATCCATTTCATTTAAATATTATTGGAGTGTACAAATTGAAAAGTTTGAGTACATCTCGCCATTTATAAAAAATAAACATTTTCTGCATTTTAATTACTGCTTCCAATTTATATTAATATACGGATATTCTTGCAACATATAGGAAATGTTACCGAAATTTTTTTCTCTACTTCTAAGCGTAGAAAAAGGTTTCTTCAGGAAATATAAAACTAGAATAAATGTACATTTGATAATCGTTTCTCAACTTTTGGTCGCGTCGCGTTAAATTTAAATAGTTTACAAAATGATAACTAGTAGTTAAATACTTTTATTTTAATATAATATGAACAATTGGACCTACGGTCGCAGTTTTTTTTGATTTATTTGTATTATATTTGTATTATTGTTTTATTCAATAAATATTATTATTATGTTTGGGATTTATAGAATGCAAAGAAAATACTATAGAATTATTATAACTTGGTTCCTTCACTTGCAGTTATAAGACTGTACTACATAGCCCAACTAAAAGTAGTAATAACAGTATAAACAATTTTTATTTAAACGAATCTGTTTGTCTCATAAACCATAAGGAAACTATAGAGAAATTGTTGGAAATAACCCCTCGGTTGGAAGGAGGTTTGTGAAGTAAATATTTTATATTTCTATTCTGTGCAAAATGAAAAAAATTTCTGCATATACATATTATTTCCCGGATGGAAAGACTGCAATAAACAGCAATTTTAGTTTACTTTACTATTTGTTTAACTTTTTCATAATTTTACAAGTTCATTTATTTTTTTATAATTTTCAAGGAATTCCCGTGATTCTTGGGAAAATTATTGTAAAATTCCCTTTGTTTTTAGTTATATAATAAATCTTGTTTATAATTATTATTAATAATTTTTATTGCAACAAAAAAAGAAAATTAAACATTTTTCATATAATAATAAAACAAAATGTTCACTGCTGCAAAGGGCTATTGACCATAGGTCTCTTAATTCTATTTATCTACCTATCTATCTAGTTAATTCTATTTATCGCCATTAGATAATAACATAAATATCAATTTTAATCTAATAGATATATATTAGAATTATACAAACAAGATCGAATAAGTAATCTTTTGATATTGATTTCGACATTATTTATGTAGTCATCAAATCTCGAGTAACGATATTGAAATACGAGTATACTTAGTTTTAAACAAAAAATGAAGTTGCTTGTGGTTTGCAGTTTGTTTCTATTATTGACGGCGTCTTCTGCGGACGCCGCTCGGATTCTGGGAGTCTTCCCGACCCCATCATACAGCCATCAAATAGTATTCCTTCCTATCGTAAAGGAATTAGCAAAAAGAGGACATGATGTGGTGGTGATGACATCTGATCCAATGAAAGAGAACATCAACAACTTGAAACAAATAAATATCAGTTTTGGATACGATTTGATAAACAAGTATAACTTCTCAAAGACCATCAATGAAAATAATAAAAATCCATTTAAATTGATAAACACATTCATGCAGATGTTAAGTGAATTTTCAACCACCCTATTAGAATATCCGGAAGTGCAAGCAATAATTAACAATGAAAACGAACATTTCGATCTACTGATGGTTGAATATTTGATACCAACGTTTCTCGCTTTCAAGCACCGTTTCAACTGTTCGATGATTGGTTTAACATCTTTGGATTCTCCTTACCATGTGCATGCAACTGTAGGAAATCCAGTTCACGCCGTCTTATATCCCGAGCTGAATTTACCGTTCCAAACACAAAAGTTAAGTTTCTTTGAGAGATTAATTAGTTTCATGTATGTGCATTTTACAAACTTTTGCTTGTATATGGAAATTATTCCTGCAGAAGAGAAAACAATAGCGAAATATTTTGGGAACAACTATCCTCCTTTATCAGAACTTTTAGATTCACTCGACATGCTTTTTATAAACGTCAATTACATTTTACACACTATAAGACCGTTGACACCAGCCACCGTTGCCATTGGTCCGTTCATCCACATAAAACCACCCAGGAAATTACCAAAAGTAAGTTATAAATTAATAGGTATAAACTAAATTGTAATAAATAACATTTTTTTTTGCAGGATTTGAAATTATTTCTGGATGAAGCAAAAGAGGGTGTCATTTACTTTAGCTTGGGCTCAAACGTTAAAAGCAAAGATATAGCGCCGGAAACGCGTGACGTTATTATGAAAACGTTTGCAAATCTTCCGTACAAAATCCTTTGGAAATTCGAGTCCGAAAGTTTACCTGGAAAACCCGACAACGTTAAACTTCATAAGTGGGTGCCTCAGCAGGATGTCTTAAGTAAATCCATATTTTCACTTCCAAACTATGAATAAAAATAATTTCTTTCAGGGCATAAAAACGTAAAATTATTTATCAGCCAATGCGGATTGCAATCTTCAGAAGAGGGTATTTACAGTCAAGTGCCTATTCTCGGTCTACCATTCTACGCTGATCAAGTAAACAATGCATACAAATTAGAATTAAACGGATTAGGTTTATCCTTGGATTACAAAGAAATGACTATCAAAAAATTTACACTTAGCATCAACGAACTAATTAATAATATTACGTGTGTATCTTCAACTTAGTTTTGTAATACAATTTTTTTGTTGATATGTACTTTACAGGTATAAAGAAAAAGTTAAGAAGATTTCAAATATACTTAAAGATGAGCCAATGTCAGGTTTAGAGAGAGCCGTTTGGTGGACAGAGTACGTTTTGAGGAATAAAGGAGAGCAACACTTGAAAGGTCCCGCAGTTGATATTCCTATATATCAATATTACTACTTGGATATAATTACTTTCTTCTCTCTTATACTATTTTTACTAATATCAGTTATTTACTTGTCAGTCAGGAAATGCTTCAAATTTGTTACAAAAAAGATTAAGAGTGATTAATTTAATAGTATATTTGCAAAAGTTGTTATATTAGTGATTAAAAATGACTTGTATGAATACATAATGATTATAACTTATTCAATTTACTAAAATATAAAAGCTTCAAAGGATACTTGGTGAATCAGTCTATGATTGGAAAGCGTATTGTATTAGTTTCTTCTTGTTATTGGAGGCTTTCGCCTCCCATAATCTATTTAACCTGTGTTGAACTTACAGAATAAATTATTATTCTTCATCTTTCCGAGCTACCACTTAGCTACACTTAGCCAGTGTCGAGCACAATTTTGCAGGTTTTCGTCGTGTGCTCAATAGGGAATAATACCGCAATTTGTGTAACAAATTGCTTTTGAAGTTGCCTATATAAAAAAGGAATTGTTATTGTTGGAAATTATTGTTGAATATTAAGAATTTAAATAATAAATAATTTAAAAATCCCTATTTCCTGGAATCAAATCATATCCGGAAAAAGTAACCTTCTAATACAATATGCCTAAATATATTTTCTGTTATGATTTACAATTTAAATATACAAAAAACAATGTAGTTAATTATATTTATCGCTATTTGATATTAATAAGTCTAATCTATTAGATTAACATTGTTTATGTATTTGTATCAGAGATATTTTAGTTATCAAATATCGAGTAACGTAGTTGTAAATCGTGTGTAATTAGTTTTAAATAAGAGATGAAGTTGCTTGTGGCTTGCAGTTTGTTGTTGTTGACGGCACCTCTTGGAGATGCCGCTCGGATTCTGGGCGTCTTTCCGAGTCCATCCTACAGCCATCAAATAGTTTTCCTTCCTATCATAAAGGAATTGGCGAAGAGAGGTCATGAGGTGGTGGTGATAACGACGGATCCGATGAAAGAGGACATCAAAAATTTGAAACAAATCGATATTAGTTTCACTTACGAATTGAGTAACAAGCATAACTTCTCAAAAATCATCAATGAAAATAATAAAAATCCATTCAAGCTGATGAACACATTCATGAACATCATAAGTGATACTACTTCCACCATATTTGAATATTCAGAAGTGAAAAAATTAATCAGCAATGAAAACGAACATTTCGATCTTCTCATGGTTGAGTACTTGATTCCAACGTTCCTCGCTTTCAAGCATCGATTCAACTGTCCCATGATTGGTTTAACATCCTTGGATTCTCCTTACCACGGCCATGCAGCTGTTGGCAATCCAGTTCACGCCGTACTATATCCGGATATGAATTTACCGTTTCAAACACTAAAGTTAAACTTCTTTGAGAGGTTGATTAGTTTCACGTATGTGCAATTTCTAAAGTATTGCATATATTTGAAAATCGTTCCTGCAGAAGACACAACAATAGAAAAATATTTTGGGAACAACTATCCTTCTATAACAAAACTTTTAGATTCAATCGATATGCTTTTTATAAACGTCAATTATATATTACACACTGTAAGACCTTTAACACCAGCTACCGTTACCATTGGCCCATTCATCCAAATAAAACCGCCCAAGGAATTACCAAAAGTAAGTTATTAATAGATATAAATTATATTCCAAATATAATAACATTTTGCTAGGATTTGAAATTATTTCTGGATGAAGCGAAAGAGGGAGTAATTTATTTTAGCTTGGGTACGAATGTTAAGAGCAAGGATATTCCGGAGGAAACGCGTACTGTCATTATGAAAACGTTCGCCAAACTTCCATATAAAATCCTCTGGAAATTCGAGTCCGAAGACTTAAAGGAAAAACCAGACAACGTAAAAATCATCAAATGGATTCCACAGCAAGATGTATTATGTAAATCTACGCGCTTATGAAAAAACTGCAATTAATTAAATGTATTTAATTTAGGTCATAAGAACATAAAGCTATTCATCAGTCAATGCGGATTACAGTCGTTAGAAGAGAGCTTGTACAATTACGTTCCTGTTCTGGGTCTACCATTCTTTGGTGATCAATCAAGCAATGCCTTTAAACTAGAATCGAATGGACTAGGATTATCCTTGGATTACAAAGAATTGACTGTTGATAAATTTACATTTAGCATAAACGAACTAATTAATAATCCCAAGTAAATGATTAGTGTTTAAGTTTGTATTACTATTCCTAACTGATGTTTATTTTTCAGGTATAAAAACAGAGTTAAAGAAATTTCGAATTTACTTAAGGATGAGCCAATGTCTAGTTTAGAGAAAGCTGTTTGGTGGACGGAGTACGTCTTGAGGAACAAAGGAGCGCAACACTTGAAAGGTCCCGCCGTTGATATTCCTACATATCAATATTACTACTTGGATATAATTGCTTTCTTCGCGTTTATACTTTGTATACTAATTTCAGTTATTTACTTGTCAGTTAAAAAATGCTTAAAATGTACCACAAGAAAGATTAAGCGCGATTAATATAAAACTTGCCGGTGTGCATATTGAGAGTCACGAAAGTCATAAATTAGGAGTAGTTTTGAAATAAGTCATGAAACAATGTCGTTCATAACATTACTTGTTCTTTTTTTATTGTTTTCTTGGATTTTGTTTCTTTATGTTTATCAATTTGACAATAGGGTCACCATGTTTCATGTAGTTAGGGATTCCATTACCGGTAAATGGTTAACCGGTTTTATCAATAAATATAATTACCTAAATTACCAGTAAATATTGACAACAAATATGGATAATTTAAGTGATTTGTAAGAAAAATCAAATTAAATGTTTACCTTCACATAGTGAAACACACCAGTGTCGAGACAGAAAGTAACTTTTCTTCTACAGGCGCAATATGTACTAAATTGCATGAAGTCTGAGTGATAAGACATAAGATTCGATTTTTTTACATTTTAATTATCAGAAAGTACTGGGCTTGAATATTAAAAGAAGTGTTTTGAGTGTTCTGTCTGGTTATTTGTAGATATTCCAATATTGGTACTTGGATATAATTTACCTATTATTTAATTGTCCAAGAACTGAGATTTCACTGCATTCGGTTTTGCTTTATTACATATTACATACAAAAATGTATAATTGATATGAATAATAAGACAAAGGTTAATACTTATGAAATATCACCAAAATATGAAATTCGAAAAGAGGCAGAAATAAGATAATTATTAATAAAAAAGGTTAGTTTTTATTAAAACTTATGTAAATAATAAGTCATTCATCAAAAGTGTGTGAACTCTGCTAATTATTAGTAATTTCCATTTAATTACAACCATAATATTAATGAAATTATTATACGAATCGATAAAAAAATGTTTGTATCATTTCTAATATTTAGAATCCATATGTAAAGGATCAGTCTAACTAGAACAACCAAGTAATCTCTTGTTATCGATTTCTTGTATGTACATTATTTGTGATAATCTGATATAAATCGAGTGTCTATGTTGAAAAAATATTAGTAGAGTGTAATGAATCTGCTCGTTATATATAGTTTTTTCGTGATTGCGGCATCCTTAGGGTATGCCGCTAGGATTTTGGGCATCTTTCCAATTCCATCCTACAGCCATCAAATAGTTTACCTTCCTATCATGAAAGAATTAGCAAATAGAGGTCATGAGGTTGTTATAATAACCACTGACCCGATGAAAGAGAAGATACAAAATTTGAAAGAGATTGACGTGAGTTTTGCCTACAAAGTGTATAAGAAGCATAACACGTCAAAGATTATCAACGAGAATAATAGAAATCCTTTCAAATTAATTAATGATTTTATGCGTGTGATGAGTGATACTGCCATACAAGAATTGGAACATACGGAAGTGCATAAAATAATAAATAATGAAAACGAACATTTCGATCTACTAATGGTCGAGTATATGATACCAACCTTCTTGGCGTTCAAGCATCGATTCAACTGTTCGATGATTGGTTTAACATCTTTGGATTCTTCTTACCATGGTCACGTCGCAGTCGGAAATCCAGTTCACGCCGTTCTATATCCCGAGGTTGCTATGCCTCTCCAAACACAACATTTAAGTTTCTTTGAGAGGTTACAAAGTTTCATATTTGTGCAATTTACAAACTTTTACATCGAATACATAAGTAATCCAAATATGGAGGCGACAATAGCCAAGTATTTTGGCAAGAACTATCCTTCTCTACCGGTGCTTGTAGCTTCAATCGATATGCTTTTCATAAACGTCAATCATATTTTACACTCTATAAGACCATTGACACCAGCCACCGTTGCCATTGGTCCATTCATCCACATAAAACCACCCAGGGATTTACCAAAAGTAATTTATAAATTGATAGGTGTAAACTAAATCATAATAAATACCATTTTTATTACAGGATTTGAAAGTATTTCTGGATGAAGCGAAAGAAGGAGTTATTTATTTTAGCTTGGGCTCGAACGTTAAAAGCAAAGACATAGCGCCGGAAACGCGTGAAATTATTATGAAAACATTTGGAAAACTTCCGTACAAAATCCTTTGGAAATTCGAGTCCGAAAGTTTACCTGGAAAACCCAACAACGTGAAAATCCTTAAATGGGTACCGCAGCAGGATGTCTTAAGTAAATCCATTTTTTCACTTACAAACTATGAATTAAAATAATTTCTTTAAGGACATAAAAACATTAAATTATTTATCAGTCAATGTGGATTGCAATCTTCAGAGGAGGGCGTCTACAATCAAGTACCTATTCTCGGTCTGCCTTTCTTTGCGGATCAAATAAGCAATGCCTACAAATTAGAATTAAATGGATTAGGATTATCATTGAATTACAAAGAATTGACTATCGAAAAATTTACATTAAGCATCAACGAACTAATTAATAATACGAAGTGTGTATATTTAACTTAATTTTGTATTACTATTCTTAATTAATATGTAAATTGCAGGTATAAAAAAAGAATTACGAAGATTTCAAATTTGCTTAAAGATGAGCCAATGTCGGGTTTAGAGAGAGCTGTTTGGTGGACAGAGTACGTTTTGAGAAACAAAGGAGCGCAACACTTGAAGGGCCCCGCCGTTGATATTCCTACATATCAATATTACTACTTAGATATAATTACTTTCTTAGCATTTATACTAGTTATACTAATTTCAGTTATTTACTTATCTGTCAGGAAATGCTACAAATTTGTCTCAAAGAAGATTAAGCGCGATTAATGTAATGTAATGTAATAGTTCATTTGCAAAACTTTTTATATTAGTTTATAAAACTGATTAGCATGAAAACACTTATAAATTATATAAGTATATAGAAATTCTTTAAATCAAAGGATAGTTGGTAAAGTTGTATATTATTGTAAAGCTGAATAAAATTATTTATTTATTTAAAATCATATATTGTTTTTAAAGTAGTAAGAAATCAATAAATTGTTGGAAATGAATGTTGATTATTGAAATTGAATTATTTATTAATTGTGCACATCCAGGATACGCAGGACATACTGACATGTTACAGGAATGGACCATTAAATTTTGGTGCACGGGGCAACTTATTTGGAGGCTGCATAAAGTTGTGTCTAAGTTTGCCACCATACTTACACACCTAGAAATATCCAGTAAGTAGAAAAATAAAATCAACACAACAGGCCCAAAATACAATTGGTTTGGCAACTCAATGATTGCGTATTATAAATTTAAAATGAAATTTTTTGCCAGGCTGTTTTAATTTTTTTGAATGCGATCTGAATCGATAATGGCCTAGGTGTCATCAACTTCAACTGAACGGTCAGATCATTGCACATTTTTCAGTAAAAAAAAACACCAGAACGAAATTTGGCAAACCAATTTTGACACTGACTTTCTTTCAAAGCTTCATTCTCATATACGGCACATAACTTGCGATGCGTTCTTGCCTTTTCGGAAATAATAAGTAAAATATGTCCGAAATACGCTTATTCTTTTTCCATTTTAAGAAAAAATGTGAAAAGAATGTGCTAAAACCACCTATTGACAAAATCCGCAATCACTTGGTTGCCAATCTAATAGTTAAGTAAATGAAAGTGGTGGAATCGGGAGTGTCGTCTATGTATTCTTGAATTCTAACTCATTATTTTTGTGGATAAGTAAATAATAACGTGAGTGAGGGGCAAATTCTCATTCAAATATTTTTGCATCTATAACTAGATTAGGCAGAATCACTAACATTGGTCATATGGTATTTTATTTATAAGTCTATTAAAAAGTCTATTAATTCCTAATTACAAAATTATAATTTTCTGATTTTTTTGTAAATACCAAACAAAATATATTTTTTGAATTGATTGAAAAATTTACATGCTTACATAATTTACATAATTATAATTCAAATTAAATAACTTAAAGAGCCAATTAATAGATTTTTGTAATAAAACGTAATATATATACACAAATCATAAATACTTTGGTCGATAGCCTTTTCGTAGAAACGTAAAATATATTTTAAATATTGTAATTGGAATTTGTTTGCAAAAGAATACAAATTAATATTTTGTTGAGGCTGTTCACAGTAATATAAATATGTATAGGATTTCGATTTTGTAACATTTTTTTATTCAGAATTTTTTTTTATAACTTCAAGACCCAAGGCAAATTATAATTTGAAAGAATCAGGCAAATTTGAATTTTGAATAATTTATTTGAAGGACACAGCCATATTTGAATATGTAGGCCACAAACCAATGTATTTGTAATATTTTTTGAGTGTAATTAATTAAGCAACTTGGATTTCAGTGACGTTAAATTAGTGATAGAAAACAGTTGTGTGTACAATTCTCTTGGAATTTAATAACATTTTATAGAATTACAGCTTTTAAAGAATTATTCAAGTGCAGAAAGCGATTACATTTATGAAATACTTGACTTTTGAGTGAGCTATTTGGTGAATTAAATTAAAGGATAATCCGAAGAAGTGTAATAACAATATTTGTTATAACAAACATAATATTACATAAAATACAATTCGTAGATAAAATATAAAAGTCATAGCGAAGAAAAACGGGAAAAACTTACACTTTCTGACCGTACCATTAATATACCTAATTGACCGTTTTCCTCTAGAAAACAAAATCGTGGGGAACAAAATTGTTCGTAATTTTTTTTAGTAATCATTTTTTAAAAGTGTGTGGTATAAATATTTGTTCTACGTTAGTTTTTGCATTATTATTCTAATCTAATTAAGTTTTTAAAATTATATTAGTGATATTTCACTTATCAAATATCGATTGTTTATGTTGTAATATTATTATAAGAGTGTTATTAGTATTGTTACAATAAATGAAGCTGTTTGTGGCTTGTAGTTTATTATTGATGGCGTCATCCTTAGGTGATGCCGCAAGGATTTTGGGCATATTTCCCACTCCTTCATACAGTCATCAAATAGTGTATCTTCCTATCATGAAGGAATTAGCAAATAGAGGACACGAGGTTGTTATAATAACCACCAACCCTATGGAAGGGGAGATACAAAATTTGAAGCAAATTGACGTAAGTTATGCCTACAAAGTTTCTAAGAAACTTAACGTGACACAGATGATATACGAGAATAATAGAAATCCTTTCAAACTTATTAATGATTTGATGGACGTGTTCAGTAATTTAGTCATCAAAGAGTTAGAACATCCTGAAATACAATCAATAATTGCTAATGAATATGAACATTTCGATCTCCTGATGGTTGAGTACATGTTCCCAACGTTCCTCGCTTTCAAGCATCGATTCAACTGCTCCATGATTGGTTTAACATCGTTGGATTCCTCTTACCATGGTCACGTCGCAGTCGGAAATCCAGTTCATGCCGTTCTATACCCCGACGCTGCTTTGCCTTTTCAAACACAAAAGTTAAATTTCTTTGAGAGGTTGCAAAGTTTCATATTTGAGCAATTTATAAACTATTACATCAAATACATAACCAATCCTACAGAGGAAGCGACAATAGCCAAGTATTTTGGGAACAACTATCCTTCTCTACCGGAGCTTATAGCTTCAATAGATATGCTATTCATAAACGTCAATTACATCCTACACTCTATAAGACCGTTGACACCAGCCACCGTTGCCATTGGTCCGTTCATCCAAATAAAACCACCCACGGATTTGCCAGAAGTAAGTTATTTAAATTCGAAATAAAATATTATATTTGGGGCAGAAAGACCTATGGTCAATAGCCCTTTGTATGAGTTGACTTTTTTGAAATTATATATATTTATTTTGTTATTTTTATTTCTGAATGTTTTTTTTTGTACGACTGATACAATTAATATTATTATTATAATATATTTGTTACAGGATTTGAAATTATTTTTGGATGAAGCGAAAGAGGGAGTAATTTATTTTAGTTTAGGTACAAACGTTAAAAGCAAAGATTTAGCGCTGGTCACGCGTGACGTTATTATGAAAACTTTTGCAAAACTGCCGTATAAAATACTTTGGAAATTCGAATCTGAAAAACTACCTGGACAACCAGACAACGTGAAAATTGTCAAGTGGGTACCGCAGCAGGATATCTTAAGTAAATTAATATTTTCATTCAAGAAACATGAATTAAAGTAATTTCTTTAAGGACATAAAAACGTTAAATTATTTATTAGCCAATGCGGATTGCAATCTTCAGAGGAAGCCCTTTACTATCAAGTACCAATTCTGGGTTTGCCATTCTTTGCAGATCAAATAAGCAATGCCTACAAATTAGATATGAACGGATTAGGTTTATCTTTGAATTATAAAGAATTAACCATCGAAAAATTTGCATTTAGCATTAACGAACTAATTAATAATCCTAAGTATGCACCAACAACTTATATTTTTGTTACTATTCCTAATTGATATATCATTTTCAGATATAAAATCAAAGTTAAGGAGATTTCAAATTTACTTAAGGATCAACCGATGTCAAGTTTAGAGAGAGCCGTTTGGTGGACAGAGTACGTCTTGAGGAACAAAGGAGCGCAACACTTGAAAGGCCCCGCCGTTCATATTCCAACATATCAATATTTCTGCTTGGATATAATTGCTTTCTTTGCTTTTATACTGTGTATACTAATTTCAGTTACTTACTTGTTAGTTAAAAAATGCTTAAAATGTACCACAAGGAAGATTAAGCGCGATTAAGATAATAATTTATTTAGTACAATACAGATCGTTCGCCGGTGCGCATATTGAGAGTCACCAAGGTCGTAAATTAAGAATAAATTGGAAAATATTGAAATATTCACAAAAAAATTGATAATAACGGAATACGGCCAATTTAAGTGATTTGTAAGAAAAACCAAATTAAATTTTAACCATTGTCGAGACACAAACTAACTTTTCTTCTACATGGGCAATATGTACAAAAATTGGATTCGATTTGTTTACTACGTGCTCATTTTAATTATCAGAAAGAACGGGAATGTATTGAATATTTCGAATTTGTTATTGATAATTATTATCTCTTTGAATATATAGTTATTGTTTTTTGTTAATGTATTCAACTTTTATTAAAACTTAATAAGTAATTTGATTACTCCTTTGCATAAACTATAGATGGCAAAAATGAAAAGGCTGTCTCCTATTAGAGTTGCCTACATAACGAATCAATAAATTTGTATTGTACGTTATTATTGTAGGTCTCTCCTAACACAGTTGTACTGAATCACTGAGACCCCGATTCGAAAGTTGTTAATTAGTGTAGTCGTCCCACATGTATTTTCCCCCTGACCCCAGTAACTTAGACCAGTGTAAAGAAATCTCAAATTAATAAAAACCATGTCTGGCGAAATTGCGCAAGACGCGTAAGCCAAGTGAAGTGTGGAGAGGAAAAGAATAAGTTATTATTGGCTTTGTCCGAAAAATGTTCGTGTCGATTTTTTAGAAGAATTCTTCTTCTTCTTTTAAACCTCCACTCCCTTCATTTAGCTTGTGTCAATCACAATTTCGCCAGCTATCGCTGTGGATGTGTATTATATAAGGTTAGAAAAAAAAAATAAAGACTATATGTGTATATATCAATATATATTTATTTAAAAATGATATAATTTTGATCTACAACATTTCTACATCATTCACGTAACTTCCACCCTTCAAAAATCTCTAAGGTTTTGAGTGAAATCTTTTCGAGGTGGTTTTTAACACACTATTTAAAGTTTTTACCGTTAAGAGAATTTTGCAAAGACCTAAATGAGAACTTGATGGTCTGGTCAAAAAGCGTGGTGGAAGACGATGCTCTTGTAATCATCAATTCTGGATGCTTTTCCTGAATCGCTGTCTTTAACTCTTTGAGCGGTAATGGGACACGCATTTTATCACCTTTTGGAAATGCCTAGTGAGGCACTATTATTTTTTTTTAGAAAATATCTAGGAAAGAGTAATTAATATATAATATATAGGAATTTCTGGCCCTTCAAAGGGCACTTTAATAAAGAAATATGTGAGAGAGAAAATTGAAAAGTTCCTGACGTAGATATTCCTACTTATCAATATTTGATATATTTTACCTATTAGAATGTATGTAATATTAATCAATATAATAATAACATCAAATTTATTAATTTTTGTACAAAAAAATATATTATTTTATAAATTTTTGTGCAAGTAACTTATACTTTTTTGGCGTACATTTCATCTACCTAATTAATTTTTGTTTTATTACATATTGAAATTTTTTTTCTAAAATGGGACGCAATTAAGGAAGTAATTATTAATAAAAAAGGTTAGTTTTTGTTTAAACTCAAGGAAACATCAGAAGTGTGAGTGAACTCTACTAATTATTAGTAATTTCCATTTAATTACAATCATAATATTAATTAAATTATTATACGAATCGATAAAAAAAATAGTTTGTATCATTTCCTATATTTAGAATCCAGATGATAGGTGTAAACTAAATTGTAATAAATAACATTCTCATAACAGGATTTGAAATTATTTCTGGATGAAGCGAAGGAGGAACTATTTTATTTTAGCTTGGGCTCTAACTTTAAAAGCAAAGACATGGCGCAGGAAACGCATGAAGTTATTATGAAAACATTTGAAAAACTTCCGTACAAAATCATTTGGAAATTCGAGTCTGAAAGTTTACCTGGAAAACCCGACAACGTGAGAATCCTTAAATGGGTACCTCAGCAGGTAAATCCATATTTTCACTTACAAACTATGAATTAAAATAATTTCTTTCAGGACATAGAAACGTTAAATTATTTATCAGTCAATGCGGATTTCAATCTTCAGAGGACGGCATTTATAATCTATTTTCGGTCTGCCTTTCTTTGCCGATCAAATAAGCAATGCCTACAAATTAGAATTAATATAATTTTGTTTCACTGTACTTAATCGATATGTAAATTTCATTTATAAAAAAGCTTTTATACTATTTATACTAATTTCAGTTGTTTACTTCTCTGTCAGTTCATTTGCAATTTTTTTTATATTAGTTATTAAAACTGACTAGCTTAAAAACTTAAAAAATTCTTTAAGTCAAGTGAAGTTGTTTATTATTGTAAAGTATTATATAGGGTCTGGCTAAATGAGCTTAAGTTCACATGTACGCCACCCCTTAACAACAATACCAATGTATCTGCACATCTACACTGAATAAATAATTTTAAAATTGAAAATTGAATATATAGGGTTAATATATTACTCCCTCTGTAAATGGTATACATTTGAAAAAAAAACTTACATTATCTACAGTTTCGAAAGCAACTGTTAATACTCATTATAATGATATTATTTACATTGATAACTAAATAACATAACATATTTGACAGTTGTTGCTTTTGAGTTAAGTTGGAATTTGAAGACCAAAAATTAGTTTCTTTTTAAGAAAAATATAATTTTAGTTATAATATAATTATAATATAATAATAATAATAATTTTAACCCAAATAACGTGAATATACATATAAGAGATACCAAATCAAGGCAATTGACTAATGAACAACGTCATGGTATCTTGCAACAGCTATTACAGTGTATGAAGAACAAAGAAAAAATAGAATACGGTTCTACTGATGGTTGGAATATTCAATTTAAGTCACAACCACCACCGATTTAAACGTTCTCGATTTGTTTTTTTTTTTAAACTCTATTCAATCAATACAATATGAAACTTTGCCAAACACAATTGATTAATTGATTGAACCCACTTGAACCCAAGTTGCATTTAATAAATTAGAGATAAATACTGTTGATAACGTTTTTATAACTTTACAAACGTATATGGACTCAATTATGTTAGCAGGAGGCCGAAAATTCCTATAAATTTCTTCATATAAATAAACCTTCGTCGTGAGAGTCGATTAACTTAAATGTATACAAATTGTATATGTTACAAAGAAGCGTTCATCAAGGCTAACTTTAACTAAATTTTTATTACATTAAAATTATTTGTATTTAGTTATATTGTGATAATAAAATGAATTAAATATTTTTTATATTTAATTTTTTTTTTCGCAAATTTATACCATATTTTCGAACAACAAAAATATTAAAATGTATACCATATTTTTGGACACAGGGAGTATTAATTTATTTTAAAGTATATATTGTTCTTAAAGTTGCCTATGTGCAGATCCAAGATACGCAGCCCTTGTGACTAATTAGAAGCAGGAACGGACCGTTAAATTTTGGAGCACGGTGGTCACCTATTTGGAGGCCCTACCAGAGCCGTATTAAGGTTATCGTAGGCCCGAAATACTATTGGTTTTGCAACTAAGTGATTGCGTATTTTAAATAAGAAGGAACATTTTTGCCAATTTTTTTTTAATGCATATATGTGATACAGTGAGCGATCGGAATCGATAATGCCCTTGATATGGGGTCTCAAGTCAAACCAATGTTGACACTGCTTTTCTTTCAAGGCTTCATAACTTCTTGTGTGCTTGCCTTTTCGAAAATAATAAATAAAATATGTCTGAAAAATGTGTCCTTGTCTACCATTTTTAAATTGGGATAAAACAGGAGCTAAATAACTAATCGATACAATTGTTTTACTAAGTTAAAGGTGAAACAATAAGAAAACATATAGGTTAGGTGCTTTGAATTTTGAGAAAACAAAAGAATGTGGTCTTAATATTAAAATATGTTTACTTGTATAAGTAAATGATGCAGAAACCCTAACATTTTTGGGGGCAATTTGATTGCATTGGAACTCGGATTAAATTGTTTTTAAATTAAAATAAAGTTACTTCATTTACTATCTGTTTAATAAAATAATGTAAAGAATCTATTAATAGATTTTTGTAATAAATCGTAATATACATGCACAATTCATATATACTTTGGCCTTTCTGTAGAAAAGTCCAATAAATTTTAAAAATTGTAATTGGAATTTTTTTGCTAAAGTATATAATTTTATATTTTGTTGAGGCTGTTCATACAAAAGAATTTCATAGCATTTCGTTTTTGTAACGATATTTTTTAATGAGAAAAAAGATTATTTATAAATTTACGGCTAATTGGAATTTGAAATAGTTTGGCAAATTTGAATTTTGAATAATTTATTTGGAGTACATAGATATATTTTAATATGTAGGCCACAAACCACTGTTTTTGTAATATTTTCTGAGTGTCAATGATTAAAAAAACAACTTGTAAATATTTTAAATTATTTTTTTTTTATATCGCTGCTTAATTATATATGTTCGTGAATTTGGATGAATAGTAATAATTCCTTATTTTTAGTGAAGTTAAATCAGTAATAGAAGGCGGTTGTGTGTACTGTTCTTTTGAAATTTAATAACTTTTAATAGAATTCCAGCTTTTAAAAATTTATTCAAGTGCAGAAAGCAATTACATTTATGAAATACGTGACTTTAGAGTGAGCTATTTGGTGAATTAAAAGAAGTATCATAAGTATTGTTATAATAAATGAAGCTGTTTGTGGCTTGTAGTTTATTATTGATGGTGGCATTCTTAGGTGATGCCGCAAGGATTTTGGGCATATTTCCCACTCCTTCATACAGTCATCAAATAGTGTATCTTCCTATCATGAAAGAATTAGCAAAAAGAGGACACGAAGTTGTTATAATAACAACCGACCCTATGGAAGGGGAGATACAAAATTTAAAGCAAATTGACGTAAGTTATGCCTACCAATTTTCTAAGAAACTTAACGTGACACAGATGATATACGAGAATAATAGAAATCCTTTCAAATTTATTAATGATTTGATGGACTTGTTCAGTGACACAGTCATTAAAGAGTTAGAACATCCTGAAATACAATCAATAATTGCTAATGAAAATGAACATTTCGATCTCCTGATGGTTGAGTACATGTTCCCAACGTTCCTCGCTTTCAAGCATCGATTCAACTGTTCCATGATTGGTTTAACATCGTTGGATTCCTCTTATTATGGTCACGTCGCAGTCGGAAATCCAGTTCATGCCGTTTTATACCCCGACGCTGTTATGCAATTTCAAACACAAAAATTAAATTTTTTTGAGAGGTTGCAAAGTTTCATATTTGAGCAATTTATGAACTATTACATCGAATACATAACCAATCCTACACAGGAAGCGACAATAGCCAAGTATTTTGGGAATAACTATCCTTCTCTACCGGAGCTTATAGCTTCAATAGATATGCTTTTCATAAACGTCAATTACATCCTACACTCTATAAGACCGTTGACACCAGCCACCGTTGCCATTGGTCCGTTCATCCAAATAAAACCACCCAAGGATTTGCCAGAAGTAAGTTATTGAGAGTACACCTAACTAAATTCGAAATAAAATAATATATTTGGGACAGAAAGACCTATGGTCAATAGCCCTTTGTATCAGTTGACCTTTTGAAATTATATATATTTATATTATTATTTTTGTTTTTGTATATGTTTTTTTTTTGTACGACTGATGCAATAAACATGATTGTTATTATAATATATTTGTTACAGGATTTGAAATTATTTTTGGATGAAGCGAAAGAGGGAGTAATTTATTTTAGTTTAGGTACGAACGTTAAAAGCAAAGATTTAGCGCAGGTCACGCGTGACGTTATTATGAAAACTTTTGCAAAACTGCCGTATAAAATCCTTTGGAAATTCGAATCTGAAAAACTACCTGGACAACCAGACAACGTGAAAATCGTCAAGTGGGCACCGCAGCAGGATATCTTAAGTAAATTAATATTTTCATTCACGGAACATGAATTAAAGTAATTTCTTTAAGGACATAAAAACGTTAAATTATTTATTAGCCAATGCGGATTGCAATCTTCAGAGGAAGCACTTTACTATCAAGTACCAATTCTGGGTTTGCCATTTTTTGCAGATCAAATAAGTAATGCCTACAAATTAGATATAAACGGATTAGGTTTATCTTTGAATTATAAAGAATTAACCATCGAAAAATTTGCATTTAGTATTAACGAACTAATTGATAATCCCAAGTATGCACCAACAACTTCATTTTGTGTTACTATTTTTAATTGATAAATAATTTTCAGATATAAAATCAAAATTAGGGAGATTTCAAATTTACTTAAGGATCAACCTATGTCAAGTTTAGAGAGAGCCGTTTGGTGGACAGAGTACGTCTTGAGGAACAAAGGAGCGCAACACTTGAAAGGCAACGCCGTTCATATTCCTACATATCAATATTTATACTTGGATATAATTGCTATATTATTTATACTAGTCTCAGTTATTTACTTCTCTGTAAGGAAATGTTTCAAATTTTTGTCAAAGAAAATTAAAAATGATTAATAATAATTCATTTGCAAAACTTGTTATATTAGTTAGAAAGACTTTAAGTAGATGAACACTTTATTATTACAGTTATGTTTTTCTATATTTTGGTAATGAATAATGACATAATATTTAATAAATTATTTCAAATATGTTGATAGTGCATAATAATTATATAGAATTCCAATATAAATATGTGTTAATTTTAGATTTGTAAGTACATTTTTTTTTGGCATTACTATGTAAAATGTTATTTGAAAAAAAAATACTTGAATTGTCAATGTTAATTTATCTGCCATTTCTTGAAGTAAGGATTACTCGATTATTAATAAACAATGTGCAATGTTGTATATTGCCTTTTGTATGTTGTTATTTAAAATATTTTGTTTATTATTCATTAAATTATATGAAAACGAATAATAAAATTGCAATTACATTTTAATTAGTATGAAATATATTTGAAGATACAAGGAAACTTCGGATTCCGTACATAAATCCAGAACAAAAAAACGACCGATACATTTTTGTTTTAGGTTGATCTGATCAAAATTCTGGCTTCATTTTACTTTTGTTTTATTCACCGTTTTTCCGTAACCATAAACTTAAGTTAGTCTATATATTCATCAAATCGTATTTTGAACAGGTTTTTGAAAAAAATATTTGATGTATTATAGTTTATACTATTGGGTTGGCAACAAAGTAATTGCTTACCATTTTTTTTATATAATTATTAAACTTTATTCTATAATATTTTTTTCATTTTGCCATATTTCCATCTACTTCATTATACCATGCTCATAGAACTTCTATTCTTTATCAGCAAAAAAATATAAATAGATGTAATTTCAAAGTGTTGTCATCATTGAAGGTTTTACCATTCAAAGAATTTTGTAAGGTTATAAACCAACCAAGCATAGCCCTGATTCAGAGTTTCAGAATTAATCGTTTGATTCCTAGGAAGCAGCTGAAAATACACAATACCTTTGTAATCCTACTAAACTGACCGCTAAACAGTTGTTGTTTACGCTGATTCATTTATTTAGACCATCACCGCTTTCGTTCCATATTATGAACATCAATTTTTCTTCGCCAGTGATTATCCGTTTTAAAAAAAGTTCCATTTCAATTGCAGATGTTAATTAATTTCCATTAATTCACGAGGAACCCAAATTATAGATGTTATATGAATTCCATATGTTTTAAACGATTTTCAATTGCTGTGTGTGATACATTTAACCTTTCTGGATTCTCGTATAAGAATATGACGATCCGAATCAAATATGGCTTTGTTTTTAACATCATAAACTTACAGATCGCAGTTCATCTTTGAGTGAAAAATCACCAGAACGTAATTTATCAAATCAATTCCGGCACTGTATTTCTTCTACAGCTTCATCACAATACAGATCGCTTAACTATTTATAAAATATGACGAAAATGAATCTCACAAAAAAATACACTTAATTTGGCTGACAAATGCCAAAACTATATAATTATAATATTCAGAGAAGTCATTAAAAAAAAACGCTACTCCCATGAACATATATAAATATATATTTTAATAATTATCAAGCACAACAAGTAATCTCTTCTTATCAGTTTTTTTTATTATCTAACCACTCGAGGTTGTTTTTGCAACATAATGTTACGAGTGCTGAACACGAAATGAAGTTACTTGTTGTTTCTAGTTTTTTGTTAATAGTAGCATCCTTCGGGGATGCTGCTCGGATTCTGGGCGTCTTCCCGATGGCATCATACAGCCATCAAATTGTGTACCTTCCAATCATGAAGGAATTAGCAAACAGAGGACACGAGGTGGTCGTGATAACACCAGATCCGTTAAAAGAGAATATCAAAAATTTTAAACAAATTGACGTGAGTTCTGCATACGAAATATCTCAGCAGCAAAACGTCATCGAAGTCATCAACGAGAACGGTGGAAATCCATTTCAACAGATGCATTTTTTTCTTCAAATGTTAAGTGAAACTGCAATTTTCGAGTTGAAACATCCCGATGTGCAAAAGCTAATTCACGATGAAAACGAACATTTCGATCTTGTGATAGTCGAGTACATGATTCCAACGTTCCTCGCTTTCAAGCATCGATTCAACTGTTCAATGATAGGCATAACATCAATGGACTCTATTTATCAAGGTCATGTAGCTGTAGGAAATCCCGTTCATGCCGTCCTTTATCCCGATGCAATTATACCTTTCCAATCAAAAAAGTTGAGTTTCTTTGAGAGGTTGATCAGTTTCCTATTTATGCAAATCACAAACTTTTATGTTGATCTGAAAATGTATCCTACTGAAGATATAACAATAGCCAAATACTTTGAAAACAATTATCCTAAACTGAAGGAACTCGCGGCCTCAATCGATATGCTTTTCATAAACGTCAATAATATCTTCCACACTGTGAGACCATTGACACCAGCCACCGTTAACATTGGCCCATTCATCCAAATTAAACCACCCAAGGATTTACCAAAAGCAAGTTATTTCTGGAAGCATATTAAATTCAAAACTATATAACATCATTTTTATAGGATTTAAAATTATTTCTGGACGAAGCTAAAGAAGGAGTCATTTATTTTAGTTTGGGCTCCAACGTTAAAAGCAAAAATATTCCGGAGAAAACGCGCGATGTTATTATGAAAACGTTTGCCAAACTTCCTTATAAAATCCTTTGGAAATTTGAATCTGAAAATCTACCTGGAAAACCGGATAACGTGAAAATCGCCAAATGGATTCCACAGCAAGATGTGTTAAGTAAATCTTTATCTTCACTTCTAAATTATATTTCACTTCTATAACTAATTAAATCAATTTATTTTAGGACATAAAAACATAAAATTGTTCATCAGCCAATGTGGTTTGCAATCGTTGGACGAGAGCCTGTTCAATTACGTACCTGTTCTCGGTCTACCATTCTTTGGTGATCAATCAAGCAATGCTTTCAAAATGGAATCAAATGGATTGGGATTATTCTTGAACCACAAAGAATTAACGATCGAGAAATTTACATTTAGCATAAACGAAATAATTAAAAATCCCAAGTTCGTATCTATTTTGTCAATTATGTTTTATTATTCATAATTTATTATCCTTTTCAGATATAAAAACAGAGTTACAGAGCTTTCAAATTTACTAAAGGATCAGCCTATGACAAGTTTAGAGAGAGCTGTTTGGTGGACAGAGTACGTCTTGAGGAATAAAGGTGCACAACATTTAAAAGGTCCCGCTGTTGATATTCCAACTTATCAATATTACTACATAGATATAATTGCTTTCTTTGTCTTTGTACTATTTCTACTAATATCAATTATTTACTTGTCAGTCAGGAAATGCTTCAAATTTGTTTCAAAAAAGATTAAGCGAGATTAATAGAATAATTTATTTGCTTTATATTTATATGTTCTTTATATTTGTTCATGCTGCTTTTTCTTAATTCTGAAAATCAACTACCTTTGTATATTATTTGAAAATTTATTAAACTCACCGAACAAATCAATTTTGAACTTCTTCAAATTGTGGTTTTATTTTATTCACCACAAAATATAACATAATTAAATTATACTAAATTTAAATTGTAATTTAGCCGAAAGGTTGCCTTTCTGTCCGTGAAGGACTAATCACAGATTATTTATTGTTTTTATATTGTTTATTTAATATAGAAGGTTAACAAATAAATTATATTGGATTGAAATACTTGATTTTGTAATATTTGTTGAACTAGCAGTATAATTTTGTATGCTTTTTCGGCATTGTCAATTACGAGCAATACAACTTCTTGAAGATAAAGATTATATGTTGTTGAGTTTGTAGGGCAAGAGTCTCGTTTTAAGGTGAAAGTTCCATGCAAAGATTTTGACTAGTTTATTCCAATTCACCATTTTCTAAACGATATTATAAAGCTCTTCTTGAAAGTGTTGAGATGCTATTACCGAGCTTTCAACTGATGTCATGATTGAGGTGTCGTCATTATTAATTATAAATTATTAACACAGAACAATAAATAGTTGCCTAGATTGGAACGGTTGGAGATTGTTGTCTGTATTTATCTTTTTATTTATTGTGTTATTATTTATATTTAGATTGTTTTCTTTTTTTTATATTTATTAATATTAGATTTATTAGTTTTAATCAGAGAGTCGAACCGAAACCGGAGCTAGTGTTTTGATTTATTTATATAGTCTTCGAAAAAAATAATTTTTCGACATTGTGTTGGTCGCTCTATTGTGACTAGAGTATATAAACAAACAATGTATAAGGGATATCGATAAAGCCTCTTTGAATTCTCCGAATTCCTTTTTCAAATAAATAAATACATAATATAGCCTCAATCACCACCAATCAACCACCGACTAAAAAGAGAAAATTTGAAGAAGAAAGGGTAAGCACAAGTCTTGTGCAACTATTACTGTAAAGGATATCACTTTAAAGATGATATAATTAAAAACATTAGTAAGGGAATTTGGTAAATAAAATTAAAACAAAATTTTGATATTGGACTCGATTTTAAATTTTAACTAACTTAACTTTTTTTTCGATTTTAAATTTTAATTTCAACCGGAACTAAACTGAAATTTTAGACGAAGCGAAACCGTATCTGGAACTATAAACACTTACTTGAACGAAATTAATTTCGGTTCTACTCTCTGGTTTTAATTCAATATTAGGGTGAAATATAATATTCTCAAGTATTTGTCAAAGTTTCTTAAATTGGAGAAAAAAGCAAGAAGGTGGTTATAATAAAATATAATTTCTATAAATCAAAGAAAGTAAAAAAATGCAAATTTTGAAAAAATAATAATATTTTATAATTGAACAAATATATATTTTCTAAATTATATATTTGATCCATTCTATTTAATTATTAATAAAAATTTGTGCAAAAATTTATTAGTTAATAATGTAAAATTGTAATAATCCATTTATTTTTATAAAATTGTTGATTTATATTTCATGTTGATTTATGTTCCTAGCTTTTTTTATCCAATAAATCATTATTATAATTTTAATAAAAAGTTTTTAATTGCAATTATTCATATATTGTTAAATTAATATTTATTGCAATAGAAAATATACAAAATAAAAGCTGAATACAATGATAAAAATAAAATGAAAACTTAATTTATTTTGCTCCACCGAAATTAATCACGCTTAATCTTTTTTGAGACTAACTTGAAACATTTCTTGATGATAAAACCACTTAAAAATATTAATAGTAATATTATAAATACGAAGAATGAAATTATATCCAAATAGTAATATTGGTATGTGGGGATATTTGCAGCAGGACCTTTCAAGTGCTGCGCCCCTTTGTTCCTCAAGACGTATTCTGTCCACCAAACAGCTCTATCCAAACCGGACATTGGCTGATCCTGAATTAAATTTGTCATCTCCTTAACTTTATTTTTATACCTAAAATATGTATTTTAGTTAAATCTCGTATAATTTAAGTGTACGTAATGGTTACTCACTTGGGATTATTGATGATTTCGTTGATGCTAAATGTAAATTTCTCGACCGTCAATTCATTGTAGTCCAAGAATAACCCTAATCCATTTGATTCCAATTTGAAGGCATTGCCTGTTTGATCACCAAAGAACGGCAACCCGAGAATAGGCACATAATTGTATAGGCTCTCCTCTAACGATTGCAATCCACATTGGCTGATAAACAATTTGATGTTTTTGTGGCCTAATTTCAATACATTGAATTAATCACAGTTTTTTTTATATTACAATAATTAAACTATTAAAGATGTAGATTTACTTAAGACGTCTCGCTGTGGAGTCCATTTGACGATTTTCACGTTGTCTGGCTTTCCAGGTAGATTTTCAGATTCAAATTTCCAAAGGATTTTATAAGGAAGTTTGGCGAACGATTTCATAATAACCTCGCGCGTTTCTTCCGGAATATATTTGCTTTTGACGTTGGAGCCCAAACTAAAATAAATCACTCCTTCTTTTGCTTCGTCCAGAAATAATTTCAAATCCTACAAAAATGTTATATTAGTTAGAATTTGGTGTACACCTTTTAATATCTTACTTTTGGTAAATCCTTGGGTGGTTTCATTTGGATGAATGGACCAATGGTAACAGTGGCTGGTGTCAGAGGTCTTACAGTGTGAAAGATATAATTAACGTTTATGAAAAGCATATCGATTGCATTTGTAAGATCAGTCTGTGAAGGATAGTCGCTTCCAAATATTTTTGCTACTATTTTTTCCTCCATTGGTTTACCAATAACCTCGTTATAAATTATTGCGATTTGTATAGAGATAAAACTTTGCAATCTTTCAAAGAAATTCATCTTGTTCGTTTGGAAAGGTAAAAACGAATCAGGATAAATAACAGCGTGAACCGGATTTCCGACAGCCATGTGACCATAGTAAGGCGAATCCATAGATGTTAATCCAATCATAGGACAATTGAATCTATGCTTGAACGCGAGGAACGTTGGCAACATGAACTCAAGCATCAGAAGATCGAAATGTTCGTTTTTATCATTAATTAATTTATGTACTTCTGGATGTTCTAATATGTAAATGGCTATGTCATTTAACATGTACATACATTTATTCATCATTTTAAATGGATTTTTGTTAGTCTCATTGATAATTTTCGTAAAATTGTGTATATTATTCCAAATTTCGTATGCGTAACTCACGTCAATTTGCTTGAAATTTTTGATCTCCTCTTTTACTGGATCTGTAGTTATTACTACTACTTCGTGTCCTCTATTTGCCAATTCTTTCATGATTGGAAAGAAAACAATTTGATGGCTATGGGATGGGATAGGAAAGACGCCCAGAATCCGAGCGGCATCCATCGGGGATGCCGCCAGTAACAACAAACTGTAAGCAACAATCGGATTCATTTCGTATACTAAACACTCTTAAAATGATTTTATAACCGAAATACTCCAATATCGATAGTAGTGCTATGCGTTGATACATAATAAAAAATAATAAGATAAATCGTTTATTATCAGATTACTACAAAAAACAACTTTGTTTTATATAAAAATGAAACATTTTATAAATATTCTAATTATATTTATCAAACAAACAAAATATCATAACATCAAGATAATGGCTGATAGATTTACTGTTATCGATTTCTTATATGTTCATAATTTCTGATAATATTAAATTCACTGATATATGGAGTATTTTTGTTATACTCCTCGTGACGTGTAGATTTTTCTTGTATTACTATTCTTAATTGAATGTACGTTTCAGGTATAAGAACAGAATGTCAGGTTGTGACAGAGTCGTTTGGTGGACAGAGTACGTCTTGAGGAACAAATGGACACAGCACTTGAAGGGTCTCGCCGTTGATATATATTTCTACATATCAATATTACTCTCTGAATATAATTACTTTCTTATCGTTTATGCTAATTTCAGTTTTTTACTTGTTAGTTCGCAAATGCTGAAAATTTGCCTCGAAGACAATTAAGTTTCTCAGAAGATTAGTTTAATAGTTAATTTGCGAAGCTTGTTATATTAGTATAATACATTTTTAGTAAATAATTCGCTATTTGTGCATGATAACTTAGTATACATGATACAAGAATAGATGGTATGCAGGGCGAATATTAAATCACCAAAGTGGTAAATTAAGAATTAGGTTGATACTAATCTTAGATTAAGAAAATAGAATATTGAAATATTCTGCAAATTACTTCTGTGAATAGAATAAGACATGAAACGATTTTATTCATATTATCACACTTTTATTATTTTCGTCTTGGTTCTTGTTATTTTATTTTATCAAGAATCTGTCAGAAAGAACTGGACTTTGTTATTGCTAATTTTTATCTCTTTGAATGTATGTTTTTTTTTTGTCAATGTATTCAACTTTTATAAAAAATTAAAAAGTTATTGTTAATTACTCCATTGCACATACTATAATTTATAAACGTACTGGTAATTTACCGGTTAACGGGTTTTTACTTAAAATATTTAACGTTTATAGTTTGAATGCCCCAGATCAGGCACCAACCGAATTAGTTAGGCCACATATATAAAAAATAAATAAAACAAAGAACTTATTCAAAATATTTTATTACTATATAGTTAATCTGACACTGATATTGGAATATTATTGGATATCTTATCGCAGTATCGCGTATCGCAGTTGATTGGTCGTGTTTTATCGAGAAACCTGTTACGGCACATCGTTTTTACTACATTTAATTTTGAAAAGAGCGATCCGTGGCAATACGTATTTCCAAATGCTGATCTAATGCACAATTCCAGTCATTTTAATTTTTTAAATTTATCTACGAGGATACATTTCTGATACAAATCAACCTTCAAACTTTGAACATGTACTTTAACTTCATGCTTTATAGCAATTCTATTAGCTTCAATTGTAAATTTGGAGACAAAAAACAATATTTTTAACATTTCCTCATACTTTTGCATTTATAAGAATTTGGTATCGAATTCTTTAGTTAATCTTTTGACTTCCTTAGAATATTCTTTTTTTTTAGTGAGCAGTGATAATTGTGCCACATGTTCTCCGAGTATGTATAGTCGATATATGCCTAAAAATAGGTAGTAGTACGTATCCTAAAAAGTAGGGTTTGTGCATTACTTCCATGACGGATATTCAAAAATTAAGCAAATTTTTGACTTATTCATAGTTTACAAAATTGGTGTTGCAGCGCTGGACTGTTGATGTACTTTCACAATAAAAAAGCTAAACTTGACGACATTTCATACTTAATAATTTAATGTATTTTATATAATCCAATTAAAGTTGTGCCCTGACCAATGTTTTGACTTGGGCCGACGCAAAATTGCGAAATACAATGTACACAAAATATGTTATCAGATTGTCAGTAATTAAAATATTACTTGAAAAATAAGCAAATGAATGTATAGTCGATTTCGCTTAATTGGGACAGCCGCTTATTAGGGGCAAATGCTAAAGATAGGAAACAAACCCGAGAAAATTTGAAAAAAAACGCCGCATTTTTGAGACAATATTTAATATTTAAACAAATTCTTCCAGAATACATAATTTAATATAAGTTTGAACAATACAAGTTTTCTTTCAGAAGTTATTATTGTTCCAGAATTTATAAGATTTTCTATTAATTTGTACATATATAACTTTATATTATGTATGCATACATTTTTTGTAGAACTTTGGACAATTGGACCAGCCGCTTCATTAGTACTGAATTATACTTTTCCTTGAAACTGAAATTAGAAAATGAGAATGGGTCGGTTGTTTAATTTACCAAACCTTTTTCTTGCCACTTAAAATTACAGTTAATTACCACCAATTATATGAACATTGCGATGTAGTTCACCATTTGCACATGAATCTGAGGATATATGCACGTTGCTCATTGTCCTCGTAGTGTTTCTCTGCAAAATTTATAGAGTACATTTAGTTTTACTGTACTGTTTATTATTCATGGTTCAAACATTCCAGAACAATACAATTTTTCTTTCAGAATATGTTGTATTCATATGTATAAATTTATGACTTCTTTATTTTCAATATTTATTTATAATATTGTTAATATTTATTAATTAAAAAAAAAATCAACTATAATAATATATTAATTAACTTATTGATGACGGCATGATATAAAAATTCATATTAATTAAGTAATCTTTGAGAGTTATTACACACATTTTTTTTTAGGAAGGAGTAATTTAAAAGGAAATGTACTAAGTGCAATTAAATATTCCTATAATAAAGTATTATAATATGTATAAAACGTTTTATTTTAACAATTTTTATATCGTATAAAATATAAATATGATAAATTAAAATCAATTAAAGTGATATTTGTTTGAAACAAATATAGAAGACGAAGAGGGTTTTTTTCAAAAATAGTATAGCGATACAGGTCCTGCATGCTGGCGAAGAAGGGGAGAGGTTTTAGTGCGGTAAGAATCCCACAGTACAATGACTCCACAAACCTATCAATTTTTTCTCTGAGATTGTAATTCACCGATTTAATATCTCTATCATCGACGTCGACGATTGCTGTACGCGAACTTTATCATTTTCCAATGCATTTTGCAATCGTTAATACAGACTACTCGAAAAAAGGGTTTAACTCGATTTTGGCTTTGATGTAATTTTGAGGTACAAGTGATTGCAGATTTATTGAACTATAAAATAAAGTCTCAATTTTGGTCATAACACTAATGCTGTAATGAATATTTCGAACATATTATTATATCATATTGTAATTGCTCGAGAATAAAATAAAGTTGATTGTTTATTTGTAAATGAAAGTTAAAATTACCAAAATTTTGGAATTTGCGCATATTCGGTCAATAGCAACAATCATATAAAGAGTATGTTCCACGCAAGTTGAGACTTTACATATCAATTTTTTAAATTGTAAATAACAAAAATTATATTTAAATATTTTAAATATTGAATAGAAAAAAATAGAATATTTACTTAAAAAGTAAAATGTTATTAAAAATGATATAATTTGAGCAAATTTAGCGAAAAGTATTATATAAAACAGGGTTTACCAAACTATGTGGAATGTTAACAGGTGATGAAAACCTGGAATGGAATAATTACCTAATTTTATTTATTATTTGAAAATACCTACCTTGAAAAATAAGCTTAACGAGCATAATTCGTTCCAGAAACAATTTTTCCCATATGAACTAATGTATTTATTGTCGTGGAACGTAAATCCATGACGATAAAAGAAAAATCATATTAATCAAGCTGTACTTCGTATTAAAAATAAAATATATTTTTTGAACGTAGCACGTTGTTAAAATATTGTTTTCGCTATTTTAAAATAATGTTTGTGCTTTTTTATTACTTGAGTACGAAATTTGATCGAAATAACTATAAAAGATATAAATATTTTTTGCTGTAAAAAATATCATATTTTATCAGCTCATATCGTTCGTTTCAGGTCGAAAATAAACGTATTTGCGCACAAATGGTTCCACGTACCTTCTGATTTGTATGAAACAAACATTCATATTAATCCAGCCGTGCTTCGGAATTATTTCACATACGAAACTTATGAAATAATTCCTAAAATATCCTCTTATATAAATAAAAAATTTAGAAGCAAGAGTGTCATTCATGACAATAAAAAATATAATTAATTTATTTTTGGTTTTTCCAATGGTCTCCTCTACACTTCGACAGGAGTAATTTTATGGCACCCCTAATAAACAATGATATAAATTGGCATATCTGAAATGAAAGTTATCATATTAAAAATAAACAATAATTTTTGAACCACTCCCTATTTTAAAATAACGTTTGCGATATTTAATTAAATTCAAAATTGTAAATAACGATATGATTTTTTTTAAGTTTTATATTACTCCAAATTGTAACCATTAGCAAACTTATTTGTAAACATCTATTCTCCATCCACATAGAACTATCCAAAAATTATTCAAAACTGATTTATTAGTAGGTACAATAAATTCAAAATAATATAACATTTTGATAGGTTTTGTAATTATTTCTGGATAAAGGGATAGGGAATCAAAATGGATAATCTATATGTTTAAATTTTTTTCGATATTATGTCCTCCAATTTAGGATTATTATTTAATTATAATTATATTAATTTATTGCATGCTGCGTGTATTGTAAATGTTTCAAATATTAAAATAATGTTTTTCTTTAGAAAATTTACATTGGAATTTTTAAAATAATTTACGGAAAATTATACATTTCTATTTCTTGGTGAACTTTCTAAGCGTTTTTTCATATTCGAACAATCTTCCCACGCAGTCGAAGATAATGTTTATATTTTGATCGCTAAATTTAATGTGCCGAAGAAGGAAGCTATTAGAGAGATACAGAAAGAATGTAGCTTTGAAATGAAAATCAAGCATATTAATAATTGAAAATTAGAATTTGGGGTGTCCCAAAAATAACTGACATTTTTAATTTACTGCCATTATTTTCGCGATAAAATCAGAATTGAGATTTTTAATACGATGTCGTAAGAAAACATTGAAGTTAACTTATGAAATGTACACGATCATAGAATGGGTAAAAATTATAAAAATTCACTTAAAAATTTGTGTACGAAAAAAATAATCTGTAAGAATTTCTCTATTAAAATATAGTTTCTTTTGAAATTTTCAATACGTCAAACCGGACTGATCAAAGCATGACTATGCGAGGTACTGCTTTATTTATTTTAATCGATTATTTGGAAAATTATGAGACAAAATCGCAGTTTGGAATAGAAATATTTTTGTGTAAAAATAAAATTAATGACATCATCACCCTCATCATATGTTCTTGTTTCACCTGAACCTCCTGCTTGATTTCAACTTCATCATCATCAATGTTGATGATAACTCTTTCATCCTCAACAATAATGACATCATGAACGAGAAATTCATTACAATCTTCAGTCGTGTTGACAATATTCTCATCGTTGTTCTGAATATTATCTTGCCGATAATGACTTTATTGCAAAAACTTCTTGGTTAAATTAATAAATATCTTCTGAAACTTCAGCATTTTCGCCAATCATCTTCTTCCGTCGTGCTGAAAATGATCTCATTACAAAATGGTTCATGAAATTCATAAATCTCATCAAAATTTGTCAAGTTTTCCTCTACTTGACAATTCTTCGCTAATCTCAGCTTTGATTTATTCAACTTTTACCGAAGCAGGCGTAGGTTTTCTAATTTTAGCCTCAAGCTTCTGCAGTTGAACTGCTTTTTTCATCAATTTTACCTTATCTTTCTTAAGCTTCCTAACATCGGCTGCTGCGATAAACAAAGTCAAGTACTGTCGATTTCCATCAAAACTGATTCATACGTGTCGTTGATTAAATCAATAAATTCAATGATTTTATTGTGAAAAGTTGAACTATTGCAGCATTTCACCAACATGTGAGTGTAAAATTTTTAAGAAATTAATTAGTAACAAAGATTTCTATGAAAATTGAAAGTTGATTTACCCATTTTTCAAGTGGATGTAGTTTTTCTGTTTAGTACAAAACGACCTACTTTTCGTTTAGAGGATGTTGAATGTTGACTCAAACAAAAATCGACACTTTTATATACAAAATTTGTAGTTAATATCCTTAGTATGAATGTGTTGCACATTAACATTTGCAAGTAATGAGAATAATGAAAAAAGGGTCGTGTCATAAAACTGGTGAATCTCTCTCTACAAATATTTTCAAAATTATATTGCTGTTTTCCCTAAATTTCTAATTATTGCATGAATTGTTGCAATTATATATTTGTTCATAATTGACTTAAGACTCAATACAAAAAAATGTAAATTTTTTCAAATTAATTCATCAGAAAATATTCAAAACTTAGTTAAAAAGTTTGTATGTTGTTCTTTTTTATTATTGTGCATTGGAGGACAATAGATCCCCCATATTGTAATTGGGCCTCTCCAGTTTTCTATAACTACACTTGTCGCCTGCTGGTAATTTGGCATTAGGTAGTGCTTAATTCCTGTCTTAATTATTAAGGCCGTTTCTGTATGTGCTCTGCCATCAGGGTGGTTTGTTGTGTATATGCTATAACCTGGTATGTCGATGTAACTTTTGTTTCTAAATTGTGTTTCAGATACCAAGAGTACGTCTATGTTGTGGTGCTTTATAAACCATACCACCTCTTGGGCATGCTGGACAAGGCTGTTAGCATTGCAGCCTCCGATTTTTAGATAGGTGCTCATTTTAACTTTTTGACGAGCTCCGTGATGAGGACAAACATGGTGGAAATGTACGTTCCTTAATTTTCTTATAGACAGTACATCCTCTTTAATTCACCGGGTGACTGCCATTACATAATGCACAAGTTGCTGAAGTGTCTGTCGTTTTTTTTTTGCAGTTCCGTGTGTTGTGTTTTTGTCCATATTTTACACAGCGCGGTTGCTTGGAACAATAGTTTTTAGTATGTCCATAGGATTGGCATCGTAAGCACCGGGGAATAGACTTTGTTTTTCTTGGCATTTCGATTTTTATTGGTCGAGGAGATATTCAATGTTATATATGTCTTTGTTGTTGTCACGTTGTAGTGGTTTTGTTTTATTAGCACTGCTGCGGATATTGGTGATATTCACCACAGAGTGCCCCATCTCTTCCAACTCCTTTTTAATGTCATCAGTGTTGTATGAGAAGTGCATGTTACGCAACACCACTCTAAAGCGGCGGTTGCCAAAGTGGTGGTCCGCGGACCACTAGTGGTCCGCGAGAAATTTTCGCTGGTCCGCAGAAAAATGTATAATGTATAACGCTATAAGTTTGATATATTTAAACCATCTTTTAATTGTTTTGCTTGTACAATTTTTGTTTATTTTGTTTATTTTATTATGGTTTATTAATAAAGCTTTCATAACTTGGTTACTATTAACAGTTTTATTTTATTAACTAGGTACATTTTATGTGTTCTTTGATCACATTTTTTTTTTATAAATATATATATATCCTATTAGTGGTCCGCGGGATTTAAATTATGAATTAACTGGTCCATGAGGTCAAAAAGTTTGACGACCGCTGCTCTAAAGGATCTATATGGTATGGTATTTTCTTATCTTTTACAAGATTACTATTTTTCTGTAGTCGGCGATAGTTGATGGTTGAACTTTTACCTGCTTGTGGTCTATTAATTTTAGGGTGTATGTATCTCGTCCTACAGTGTTGAAATCCGTAATCAGTTTATTCATGTCATTCACATCGGCTATGAGAATGGAGGAGGTTTGGGATTTTCTGTTTCAATCGTTTTTTTAGGCATTGTTGTCGTTTTGGGAACGGTATCATTTGCGTCTTGTAGATTTTCTGACGTACTAGCTAGGACTGAGTATGGGTTGTTTATCAGTACTGCTTGTATAGATTATTCCCTAATATTCTTTTTTGTTTATGCTTATGTTGAGGTGGTGGTTTCTGCTGTGTTGCTGGTTTCTGTTGTGGGGGCTTGTTTTTTTGTTTATGTTTATGAGGCATCGACAGCTTAGGTCATTAGCCTCTATCACAATCAAAAAGGACTTATACACAATACAGTAACAAATAAGTTAAAATAAATAAATTAAATATACATATAAGTAAAATAGTTAACATATTAAAATAACTCAACTAGTAAGTTAAAATAAATTATATGTAAATATAAGTAAAATGGATAAAAAAAACATATTAAAATCAACCGAGTAGATACATTATTTATAGTTGTCGTAAAAATCCGGACTCGTTCAAAAATAAAATGATAGATTCGACGGACCCCCTCTTGTTGTTGAGACAACAAGGTCGCCCAGCAGACCCGCCACCGCGCGCTGTGCAGCGTGCTTTATACAGTCCTCGACGATGTGCTGTACCGTCAGAGGAACTCCACAGGTCTCACATATAGGGGCATCTGTGCCAGTGAGAATATGTGAATGAGTCAGGTTTGTGTGACCCAACCTAAGTCTGGTCACGGCCACCTGCTCTCTCCTCTCAAGGGCTATCGGGCACTTCCATGAATCAACAGTCTTTTTGATCCGAAGTAACTTGTTAGTGTTCAGCATCTGCCACTCCATTAGAACACTAAGAGTCACATGGTTCCTAACGTCGTCGGGTCTATACAGGAAGTCGGGACCGACGACACCTCGCACTGCCTCTCGGGCTGCGGAATCGCCAAGTCACTGTCACCAATGCCCATGTGCGAGGGTATCCACACGAATCGAACAATACTACCCCGACACTTAAGACGATACACTGTGTCCAGTACCGATTGTACAAGCGGGTCC